ACTGGAAGAAAATGTTGCTAGTACTTGTTATGAGATCAGTGTAGTTTTTTCTATGAACTCACACTTCCTTGTGGTAATTTTCCCCTTCCCTTTTGAGTCTTCTGCCATGTTTCTTAACAGGTGACCAGAGTTCACCTAGGAGGGATGAACTCTGTCTCAGTCAAGCTCCTCTACATCAGCAGCTTTATCAGCTCCTGGTGACGCAGCGTAACCTTTAGTTACTACTGGGAGAGAAATGAATCCATCTCATCAGATTAGAGATCGTTCTAACTATTAAGATTGGAGAAGAGTTGAGAAATCCCTTTGAAATAATTTGCAGTATTTGTGTCTTCTTTTTTTTTTTTCCTAAAGCTCTTTAACAGGAGCAGAGGCTACCTTCATATACATTTATAATAGAATAAAAGATCCATTCAGTCATGCATAAAATGACATCTAGAAATAGTGCAACAGAATGCACTCTTCCCATTTTGAACAACATAACTAATGCTCACTACTGCTCATGCTTTTCTATCTCCATTTTAATTCTTGCAGTAGAATACTGTTTTGTGCTGTAAAAACAGTTCTGAACATGATGTGATTAACCTTAGGGTCCCCCCATCCCCTCATCTCAAAGCCCCCTCGTACATGGCCTATGCTTTCTATTCATGTTCAACCATCTGATTTCCATATCATCCCGCTCAGCCTCACAAGCGACTATTAGCATAACAGAGCTTTAGTGTGACATTGATTGAAGCCAGCGCTTGCTGAATGCAATATCAAAGCATAATTTGCCAGAAATCAAATCTAATTTACTGTGTATTATTTAAATTTCTCGAAAAAAAGGAAAAGAAGTTTCAATAGAAGTATACTATGTCTGTAGTCTTAATTGTTCTTTTTTCATATTTTTCTCTGGTCCCCTGGAATCCAAGCAATATATTTCCTTTTAGAGCCATTGTCTTTGACTTTCAAATGTCAATTAAGCAAGAGTTTTTCCAGTCTGTTTATTCCAATCCAGTTAATGTTACATCTGAAACAGTAAAGGGTAATAGTTTGATAGGCACAATACTCAGTTTGCCGCTTCATAACAGTTTTTTTTCAACAGATTCTTCTAATGACCCTAATGTTTAGCTTGAATTAAGCATTAAAGCACCACATAACTTTAACAGCTGAAGCATATCAAGCCTGCTGTTATTTCTCTAACTGTACCTTTTCAGGCTGTTTTGAAAATTCACCTACTTTGAGAGAAGCAATAGTGGCTTGAATTAGGTTTTGCCCAATGTTCCACTGAAGCTGGGGTTTGAAGAAGTCATGATCTCAGTCAACCTTTCTGCAAAATACGAGTAATAATATTTATCTATCTTTATAAACAGCATCTATACATGAAGATAATGAGCTCTATTTTTAGGAAAATTGAAGAGCCCAAGTGTTTTTTCTGTCAAAGAAGCCTTGTCTCTGAGCAGGGTCGTGTTGCATTCTCTGGGCATAATGGCAGTCTTACTGCTTTGGTAGTTATACTTGATCAAGAATTACTCCTGCAATTATTAACTATTACTTTCAGTCCATTTGCATTATTCAACTGGAAACTGATAGATAAAATTAATATGGTGAAAGCGTTGTTTAAATGCTGTAAACAAGGTCATTTTTATCAGAGGCTGTCTATAAACAGAACTATAGCTGAGTATGACAACAAACTGGAACAAAATGGCGGTTTCCTTCATTATAGAACCCCATCTTTGAATAAATTCAAAAAAACATACACAAGGTTTTATTTTTCCAAAATTACATTTTTCATGTTCTTTAAAATTGTATTAAAAAGTTTGGCTGAAGTAATTGGGTTTGTGCTCCAATTAACATAGTGACCAACAAAGTCAGCTCCTTGTGAGATGAAGAGATTATATTTAGATAAAAGCTCTGATTCATTTATGTATTTTTATAGTGAATTTCTAGTAATTATGGCTGCAGAAAAAAGCTAGAAAAGATGTCCTTGCATAGCCATGCATCATTGTTTACTGGAGTCTTTAGAAAGTCTAAACTAGTAGCTATAAGGCCACAGATCTTCTGTTCACCTAGTATGGCAAATGCTAGAGAGGACCTGGTGTGTGACAGGGAGAGAAGAGAACAGGGTCAATCCACATCATTTGGATTATCTGAGCTACAGCCTTAACTCCTGCTTCTTTTCCTTCTCTCTTTTTGCAAAAAAGGATCAGTTTTCTGCTCTTAAGAAAGTGAGAGATGTTCAAAGTTAGGGGTAGGTCAAAACCTAGAAACTACGTAGAAATTAGGATGTTTATCTCCCATTGTTCCTTGACTACCAAATTACTCAATTTGGTCCTTGGAAAGTCTGCTACAGCAATAAGTTGAATGCTGTTGCATCTCCTCAGAGCTTTGACTTATGGTATAGCCTCGTGTCTGAGAGAATGTTAGAGATGAACCCTTAAACTTACCTACCTTGCATTTATTTACTTGTGTGATTTGAAAGATAGGATCATGGAAATGCCATGCCCTTCTTCCTTCTGTTGAGCTGTCTCAGACCACCATTTGCATAATATACCCCCAGTGCACCAAGCACGCCTATGAAGTGATCTTAGGAATTGATCAAGCTTAGCTATGATCTATGGGTTGGTCTCCTGCCACCAGGTGTTTAGCATCATGATAGAAAGACTATGGTCTTGAGGACACCCATAATGCAGCGTAGACATAGGATTCATGCATGGTTCCTGTCAAATGCAGATATAACACCTGAAGAGGTTGGAGGTTTTGTGTTCTCCCTTCTGCCTGAGATTGCTATTGATTCTGTATTAATATCCTTGGCAACGAACTACTATAACTGGGCAGCAAACACTGAACTAATTCAGTGACCTCTATAAAGTGGGCGGTCAGAACTGTAGAGATACCTTGGTGTAAGGTATGCCTATAGGAATGGGGGTTTCTAATTCACAACTTAAAGGTCTTTCTTTCTTTCCATTCCCATATGATTGAATGAACACACACAGGTGCTGATTACCACATGCTTTCTGACATCTGTAGGGATTGCATACAGATATGCTAGGTAAAAAAATGTGAGGAAAAAACAAGTAACTTGCTGTAGTCCAGCACTTTAGGAATAGTACAGGATGAGTTTGGATCCTAGAGCATGTGTAGCAACTACTGTGCTCTTATAGAAACCTCAAAACATATGGGTATAAAAGGGCAGAAGCAGGGTATCTAGCCCTTCGTCCCTGCCCTTTCAGAAGACTGACACCTGCTGAGGCCTGGGGAAGAGGTAGACACTTCTCTCTCCAGAGAGGCCAAAACCTGTGTTTAGGAGTGTGAGGCAGAAGGAAGACTCCTCGTGTTGTCCTCACCCTCTGCCTTCTAAATTGATGGTGATTTATGTTTATTAAATGCTCTACAGTTCTTTTTTTAAGAATGCATTAAACCAGCGCTATTCAACTAGTACTCTTTAGACTCCTGCTGATCTGTAAAGCCTTGGGAAGTACCTCATGAGATAACTGTAAAGTGTATTTCAAAAAAATCAGATCTGCATACATTTCTATGCAGTTAGCAGATTTGTGTCTGAGCTGTCAGCAGGTGTAATCGGAAGCTGGGTCTTGATTGCTCTTCGTGCCTAATTAAATAGTTTGTAATTATAATGGTGAAAATATGGTTTTCTAAAACACTTAAATTCTGTTTACCTAAAAGCTTAGTGTTCCTAAACCATCCCTCTCCACAACCACCAAACCAATAGTGGAATAGAAGAAAATTAATGTGTGTGTGTTATTATTATTTTGTCCCCTTCTTCAGCCTGCTCCAAAAGTTAGCTAGTCTTTTGATGAGAACATTTGGAGACACCACTTACATTTTTAAGATATGTCAAATCATACAAATCTAATTCCAGTGAATTCCAATGTTGAACCAAGACGGGAAGTTTTGCATGTCATGCATAGAAAAGCCATTTGCTTTATAACATCATGCTCAACATAGTTGCTGATATCAAATTTTTTCTCTCAAATCCTCCAACACTTCTCCACTTTCCTTCTGCGCATTAACACCTTTTCTCTCCCTTCTTATTCCCACTAAACATTGACTCTCCATTCTCCACCAATATCCCCAGACAGGTAAAATGACACCTCTCTTTTAGAAATTGTTCACTTCTGACTGTGCTTCCTGGTCCCCTATGTCTGAACACTGTTAATGCCATCTACTTGAAAACATAGCCAGTCCTGGTTCTTCTTTCTTGTTTAACTCCTCTTTCTCCTTTATTCTGTTCCTTGTCTCTTCCTGATCTCTTGGAATATCTATTCCTTCTTAGTCACCACTCACTGCTGGCCACCAACTCTTTAATTCAACTCTTGCTTCTTTCTCCTCTTTATACAAGCTGAATTCTGCATATCCCAAGTTTGTGTTGTTTTAGCAACCATTCTTTTTACAGCAAGTCCTCCTTCCCACTCCATTCTTAACCACAGTACCCCTAACAGAAGTGAGGGAGCTCTTGAACTTCTGTCCTTCTGCTGTCATCCAGACCTTCCTCTCCTTTCTCAATAATTTTTAAAAGTCTAGGGGGGCAGACTGGAAAAGGCAGTCTGTATATCCTAATTCATATGTTGCAATACATCATGATAGCTCCAGCACAACAAACAGCTCTGTGAAGCGTAGAGGGTATGAGACTGCTGATATCTGCCCAGAAAAAAAGGTAGAATACATCCACAGCCGACATCACAAATACCTGACTGCTGCTCCTTAGCATTTATTGTCATCAGAATTTACTCTAGCATGTATGGTTGTAATGTTTCTTTCCTTTTTTTTTTTTTTTTTGTTTTGTTTTAACAACTGGGGATATCACATACTGATATTGCTGCTCTTTTTGTTGCTGTTGTTGTTTTTGTTTATATCTTAGTTCTGTCCATACAAATTAATGTTTCTGGTGTTATGTCCTCTGGCATAAAACAAGTCTCCATAATGTTGTCTCTTCCCTTCAATAGTCCTCATCTCCTACTTGCAAAATATCCTAAATTTACATCATGTTTTTTCTTACATTGTAGCTCCCCCACAGTTTGTGGTGAGACCACGAGACCAGATTGTAGCCCAGGGTCGAACAGTGACTTTTCCTTGTGAAACTAAAGGAAATCCCCAACCAGCTGTTTTCTGGCAAAAAGAAGGAAGCCAGGTAAGTTATAAGAACCCTGTAAGTCTTTCAAGCCTTTCTAAATAGTTATATTATTAAATTTTTAGAAATATTATTTATATTACCTTTCACAGATTCTTTAATCTTTTGCAGGAGTTTGTCTTTTAATCTATCACTATCCTCTACTGACATTTTTGTTGCCATTTTTTTTAAATATTAATATTTTGAAGAGCTCAAAGGCCATTTAAGTTGGTGAAACTTGTGTTAGGTGCTCTATAAATGTGTAGAAAGCAACAGTATATACCTTAAAGGCTTTTCATTCTGAAGCCCCCAAGAAACAGGTGGGTGAGAAAAACCTAGTAGATAAAAAAGGTATGACTCAATTTTTAACTAATCAGAGTCAGTAATTACAGTTCACAACCTGTCTAGACATGATCAAGTAGATACATATCTAGCAAGCTGATTTGCATTGGCATATTCTCATAGTGCATACAGATACAGGTTTTGAACACGCAGATGCTTTCTTCAGTAAAATTGTCTCGGGAAATTTCTGAATCTGATTTTTGAAATATTTTCCTGATCCTTACTGTTTGGTTTTTTTTTGAAAGCAAAATTTCTGATGTAGCAGTCAATGTTGCCATCAGCCAATACTAACTTCTATAGCTTAATATTTGAATGTCATGCCATAACATTTTTTTACTGCTGTTACTGTGTTGGCACTATGTTACAGCAGAAGTCAGCCCTTCTCACTTTCACTGTGCAGTTCTTGTTAGTATGTTAAATTTGAACACTGTAAACTATGTGCCTTATTCGCTTTTGCACCTGAGAAGAGATTAAAGGGGTCAAATGAACGCCCAAGGACAGTGTCTTCTGCGGCTCCCTAATGAAGCCTGTCATGGCTACATCTGTTTATGAATCTATACTATGTACCCTTCCCCATTGACTTAATTAATCTTTTCAGAGCCCTGTGCTATTTTTTGCCTTTCCCATACAGTGATATGTGAGTTAACTTGGGTATCCACACTGTGCTGTGCAGTGCAGGTGTGCCTTATGTCTCATCTGGAGTCATTGTGGGTGCCACCTCAATTAAAAAGTGAAATAAGAACTGAACCACAGATCTCCTACTCTGCCTCACCTGCTTCTGCTTCACCTTCTTGCAAGGTCAGATAACTGGTCCAGAATGAGAGGACCAAGGCTGACAGCACTTTGTGCTCTGTTGCATTTGTGGCTTACAAAAGTACAACACTATTACTTTATGCGTGTAAGCTTGTGTGAGTGTAAGCTTTGTCTTCAGTGTATTTCTTTCAGTGTATTATCTGGACAACTTTAGATCTAACCTCCATGGATCACATCCTGGAAAAGCATAGTATTGTGAATCTCACTAAGGTGAAAATTGTTCCAAGGGGAAAGGAGGATAGCATATTGAAATTAAAGTAGGAAGTACTGATGTGCTAGCAAACATTTGAAAACCCTTCCTTGTAGAGCATTTTAATAACATGGTAATGTTTATGTAAAGTGAGCTTATAGTGTCACACTTGAATCTAATAAAGTGGACATCCATCATGCTGTAATAAAGACAAGAGCTTCTAATTAAAGTAGGACATCATTTGCAGGATTAAAGTCATTTAGCGTAATTGAAAAGTGTTAATACTCTATTTTATCCTCTTCCATTGGTATCACTTCAAGGGTAAAAACATTTTAAGGTGAAAATGCATCTTGTGTCTTTAATTGAATGTTATTACCTACTGATTGTACCATGTTGAAGCTGTTTAATTACAAACCTGGAAAATTAATTACCATATTGAGAACTAGATCCCTGAGGGTTAGAATGGTCTTTTTTGGCAAATAAATGCAACATAAAAATTGATACCTACATGGTTTATAATCAAACCTTGAAACATAGCTCAATGTGATTCACTACACCCTCATGTTAATCTTAATTGAGCATCAGTGAAGCAACACAGGGTAGTGTTACTGTCTCAACGTACAACTTTCCAGATTTTGCAATGAGATGCCATAGAATAGGTGAGTTTCCACATACTGTATATCATCATACAAATCTGAAGGACAGTATTTTGGCAAAATTAGGCATTGTCCACTGAACGTACATGACTTTTCACCTTTGCGTGCCTGGCTATAAGTTCTTGGTTGGATTTACAACACTTGCTTCTGCTTTTACTCAAGGAACTGTTTGCAGCACTGCTGTTAGTGTTCAGAGTAATGTTACGTAGTCATGTTAGCCCACTCCAGTAATTGTAGGGCATTTTTCATCATGAATCCATTTCTCAATCCTGTGTTTCTGAGCACAACCAGCTGGAAAGGAGGGGAACTGTTCCCTCCTGAGTAATTTTTTGTGCCAACTTGTGCATAAACAGCTGGTCCTTTGTACTCGGTAGCCTTTTCCCCAGGGCCTAACAGCCGTCCGCCAGTGAAATGCACCAGGGCAGGGAGTGTGTAACCTTTAGACTCTCTAGATTAAATTCTTCCTTGAGATAAATTCAATGATATTACATCAGGGATGTCTCTGGTCCCCCTGTTTGCAACCCAGCATGCCACCATTGTGCCTAGATGAGCAATCCGACAGCTAATTAAAACCAGTGAAACTGTAAAAAACATTTTAAAAGGGGTTGTACTGTCATTTAGGACAAAGTTTAATTCATAGTTATCTGATTTTTGAAGGGAGGAGTCATGAGACTGATGAGCTCTTCCTGAAGTGTGGAATATTTGCTGGGGTGTGGTACCTCTCAAGAACAGATAAGCCCATGCTGAAGATAAAAAGAAGGGTAGCCTCCCCTTTCTAATGCAGTGATGAAGAGGATTCTGGATCTTTTTCCTCTAGAGAATTAGGAGCTTGATCCTTGCACTGTCTTTTACATTATGTTACTTTTTACACTTTGCTTAACGAGTGGTAAATGGAGTCAAGCTCAGCCATATCAAAATTCTCTGCTTTCTCATAAAATTTCATGGAGTTTCCGTAGTACCTTCATTCAGTAGGTGTCTATGCCAGGGAGAGGTTATTCTGAAAGTTTCAAGGCAATTCGGAAAACAGGGCAATTTTTCTAGACCCACTTAGCCCTGTAGCCTGAAATAGTTTCAGAATTTTCAAACTTTTTTCTTATTATATCTGATGCTTACTGGGTGCATATTGATTTTTGAGGAAAAATTTGCTGTGAAAAATTTCTTGAACATTGACACTGAAAGAGGTTAAGGGGAAAGACTCACCCTAGGGTGAAAAGTAGCCTAGTAGGTTAAGGATACTCGGAGTGCCCAATCTTATTTAAAGCATGTATCTCTCCTTTTATTGCCAAAATCAGAGAGGTGAAGGTGTGAGTTTCACTTCAAAGCAGAGTTTTTTTTAAAATCCAAGTTTGTTGCTAGTCAGTTCCAAATAATTTTTTGTAAACCATTAAGGTCTACTGCAGAAGAAGCAGATCTACAAGAAATTAATTTAATACCCTGCTCTATACTTTTAGATTTTCTTTTTAGCCCAAATAGACAAGGTTACAAGTTAGTAGGGAGTCATCATTAGAAAGCACAGCAGAGCTATACAAAGCTGCAGTAATGACTAAAAGCTTATCACAGCATGGTGACAGTGTGTTGGGGTATTTCTGAAGCAAACAATTGTATTTTTGAGAGAAGCTTGTTGACCTGACGTAAAAGCCAGACTGGAATTACTGTTGTTTAATTATTGTTTAATCTATTCCGCTTTCTGTCTCATTGGGCAATGCTGCTGACCTTTCTGTTCACATTGCCTCCCTTTTCCTATTCTTTTTTAGTCACATCAAGAGCTGTGCCAGACAGTATAACTTTTTCATTGAAAACACAGCCATCACCACTAAAAGCTTTTCTGTCCTTTTCTGTGTTATTGATTCATTCAGTCCTTCATCATATGCAATGACTGCTACATCCATAACAGTTATTCTTATTGACATCTCTCTTTTCTCCAATCCAGCTCAAAGGCAAAAGCTAATCTCCCTGTTTTGTGCTAACTGATGTTTTATCCTTCATGAGATTATTTTTTCTCTCTGATGATTTCCACATCAGATATATACCCTTTCTCTTCACCCTCAAGGCTCCATGCTGCTTTTCGCCTTTGGTATATCTCCATTCTAATTTCCTTTTACTACTTCATTGAGATCTTATGCTCTGACAGCTTCTACTTTATGACCTGTTTGTATCTTCCTCCCGGCCTTCCTTCTGTGCCCTGCTCTTTCTGCTTTGCCCAGACCATATTCACAGCCAAACAATAGTGCTATGCTCCCTCAAGTCTCCAAAATTCAATTCTTTCTGCTAGTTTTCTAATGTTTACTGTGGTATTGTGTTTTGGTCTGACAGCCAACTAAGTATATTACTACAATTAAAGTCAGAATGAAGATGAATGTGTCACAAATACCAATCACTCAAGTGCGACTGTTGGAAAATTTCTCCTCGCCTGGACCCCCAGCCAGAACACACCACTGTATGCTGTCAAAGGGCTGTTTCTAATTTAAACTGCAAGTTGCCCAAGGCAGGGAAAGCTAGCTCTATGTGTTCATAAAGTCGTAACCACACTTACTTTTTCTTCTAGTTTATATATAGTACTTTTAAGGAAAAGTCATTGTCTCTCTAGCTGAGGGAAAAGTGCTTTTGCGTTTTGAACTGATGTGAGATGAATTGTCTTTACAGAATCTACTCTTCCCAAACCAGCCTCTCCAACCCAACAGCAGGTATTCAGTGTCACCAACCGGAGACCTCACTATTACCAACATTCAGCGGTCTGATGCAGGCTACTACATTTGTCAAGCACTGACGGTTGCTGGAAGCATTTTAGCAAAGGCTCAGCTGGAGGTTACTGATGGTGAGCTATAGAAATTCCTATTGTTCTTTCCTGTCAAAAGTATTTTAAAAGTAGTGTAAATAAAGGCATGTAAAATCACGTAAGTCATACTAGTAAACAGACAAGTTTCTACAGAAAATGCAACTGAGTCTCTGTGCAATCCTCTGTGGCATCAAAAAGGCATCGAAGTCTAGTTTGCCTTTTGCTTGCTTTCTGGAGGTTCCTTAATAATGCAAACAAGATACAAACCAGCTTAGAATAGGGTTGGTGAGAAAGCAAGCTTCTCAGTTCACTAGAGCTAAGATAGGACTGCAAAAAATATTGTGAAGAATGAATAGGTTTGTGATTAAAGCAGTGAACTAGGGTGCAGAAAAATCAGGCTCAATTCCCACCTCAGTCCCAGTCTTCAGTGTTATCTTAGGCACCTAGTTTGGGGATGGGTCCTTAGCTCAAATCAACACAGTTGCCTTGAACTTACTGGAGTACTGTTGGTTTAGAACAGCTCCAACATGTAGCCCTTTAGTACCTGTGGCAATAAGGCACAGAGATATTTCCTTACCTCAGAGCTGTGTTTCTCAGTATGAAGAATTTCTCAGTATGGTTAGATGTGAAAAGAGACACGTAAATACATAGGTAGGGTTTTCAGGAAAGGAAAAGCACTGCATGATCTGTCTTGATGCTTACCATTTCAAAATTTGGGGTTTGAAAGTTATCCTGCCTTGAAGTTTCCCTTACTCCATCCACAAACATGGATCCTTTTCATATGTCAGGAATCCTGTTGATATCCCTCTTCATCCCATTGTGGATAGAAGGCAGTTTGTATCCTTTAATGTTAGTGAAGAAAACAAGAGGATTCATCTTATACTAGGAGATCGTTGCATTCCCCGGCATCATTATTCCTTATCTTAACTGACTCATTAAATATCTCCTGACAGACTTTGATGAATTTTTGCCATTAAAACTGTTGTTATATGCAGAGGTCTACTTTTACTGTTCCCTTAGAGACCTGCCTGCACCATGAAAGTTTGAAAAGATGTCTAATTCTGAATAATCTGGCTTTTCACAAGAGCATATTCATCACAAGTGACAGGTAGAGAGGTTCAGGCTCATGTTATAGAGGTTTGAGCATTAATTTGATGCCTTTTCTTTGTTTTCCAAAAGCTGTCTATATTTTTATGACAAGGGGAGATAATTTCTGCCTTATCCTTGCATCTTTACAAGCACATTGCTTTTCTGTAAAGTAGTTTCTGGAGACTAAAGGCTAACCTTTGCTCTGCAGCCTCTTTAAGTCCTTTCTCTCATGGTCTATGACAAAATGATGCATTTTCATTCAATTCAAATTTAAATGTAGATTAAAAGGTCATTTAAAATTAATGGAAAGGCAGTATTTTTTAATATCTGTCCATAGCGCTGCCTGATTCAGTGCTATGACTGTGATTGGAATAAATAGAACACACAAACATTGGCTAAGAGGACATTGAGCTGTTAATGGTTGCACCTGCTGATGCTGTACAGATTTACTGCAACAGGGGCCAAGAGGATCAAATCGGGTTCAAGGATATTAGTGATGAGAAATTCTTCCTTTTGACAGACAAGGCCTGTGTCCATCTTTTTCTATTTCTTGTGGGGGGAAAAAATAATAAATCCTAATAACCTCTTTGGAATTTTCATTAGTTTATTTAACAAGTCAACAGAAAGCTCACAAAGGTGTCCCTGCTAAAATGCAAACTCAACTACAATTAATTCTGTTTGAAGGCGGTGTGCATTCCACATTGCTAGAGAAAGCATTAGCTGGTGGCTCTGCTGCTCAAGGAATGCAAGGCCTGCGTTCTTCAGATGCTTTCCAGAACCCACTGTCAGCATGATCATTATGAAATAGTACAAGGTTGCTTTATAGAAATACCATTTCATCCTTGAGTCAAAGGGCAGGTGAGGTCAGGAGAAAAGTGCCAGAACAATATTGTGGAACTGAGATTATATAAATAAATGTACCATTAGATCACAGATATTTTTTTAATTGCTTTCAGTAAGGAAGTTAACCATAAATGTCTAAATAATCTTTTTTGGCTGATGCTGAGCAGAAGTTATGGAAGCTAATGATTTTTATCAGTAGGGAAATCTAATGTAATGGTTTTAAAAATATAATAAAAGATAAACACTGTGCATGCTAGCTATATACTTAAGCATTAGTGTTCTAATTTTTGGCTGGTGATTTCAGTTTTATTTCATAGCCCAGAATTTTTCTGTTTGGTTAATGATTTAATAATAGTGGCGAGCCATCTTTTTCATTTTGAACACATTTTTGTTTGATCCAGAGTAATTTAGATCCAATTGAAGTTCCAATACAGAATGAAAACATATGTCATGTGCAGAAAAACAAGTGCTTAATTATACCATATATAGCAGTGTTTCAGTTGTTACATTTTTGCACTTACAAGTCTTTACTGGAAATATTTTTAACTCAAGTGTTCACATGAGAAGAGATTACTAGCTGTGATGAAATGTGCTGAGTGATAATTTTGCTGATTATGGACTGTGCTAAGAGCCTTCAGTGTATTTGAAATTCAAATCTTGTATTTTCTTGAAAGGCTATCATATAATCCACTGTCTAACACACATCTGGAAAAGCAAAATCATTTTAAAAATTGAGACAATCTTAGCAATCCTTTCAAACTCAAGAAGTGAATGTGCAGCTCACAGTCTTAAAATGACAGATCATGCAAATAAACCAAATGCTTCCATCTAACTATGTCTGTGCTCAAGTTAAAAAGAATAGTTTACAATTAGTAATTTATTCCATAAATTTATCCATCATGCACTGAGTATTTTGGAGAAGATCTCAGTTTCTGCTAATCCAGTAATTATTTATATTTATTAATAAAAATTTCAACCACTGCATGCTCAAGTGCAGGATCAGCCTACCAGTGCTAGGTTACCCAGCAGCTGCTGTTTAGGATGAGTATTGGAATGGAGGAACAAGCTTAACCTCCCCAGTGGATGGCAACATAAGAATGAAATATTTTAGGATATTCAATTAATTAAAAAAATCACATTTCAGGGCTTTTGAATGAGAGTAAAAAGCTGGACCTGTATGGAGAATTCAGAACAGATGTCAAAAAAAAGAGAGGAGGAGTTAGCAGCATACCTCAACAGCTCCCGCTCCACTGATTTGGAATAGACACTTAAGGCATTTTTCCCCAACTCTTCTGTAATTTTTTGGCTATAGATCTATTGAATATTCTGGGATATCTCTCTCTCAAATCCTCCTGGAAGAATTTAGTATCACTCACAGTTTACTCATCCGCAAATCTGGCACCCGTGACTCCTGTCCGTGATCAACTGTACATTACATGTTCTATAGCAAGTGTGACAGTTTCAAACAGAGACTCAGAACAACTTCACAACCTCCTGTGAAGCTCTGCCACAAAAAAGACAGAGGAAGGGTTGGCTTCTGCTTTTCCACCTCTCAGGAGAGCACCCTGCCCTATCATACTAGTATTCATTGTGATAATTTCATGATATTTTCCCCAGTAATTCACCAGGAAAACTTTTGAAATGTTGATTTTGGAAGTGCCAAAGTAAAGACTTCATTTTGCCACTCTCTGATTTTAATTTCCTATTGTAATTTGACCAAATTCCCCTCAAATTTAAACATGGTTTCTGTTGATCCAAATTGCATCGGTAGTGAATAAACTGTCCATTAACAAATATAATTTGTTCTTTTCTGATAATTTGCTCAAAATCTAAGCTGCATTTTATCACAAAAGGCATCTGATAATTTTTCAGTTACCAGAACATGTGAATATATGGTTGCTGACAAGTAGTTTCAAACCCATTTTTTAAATGAAATTAATTTTGAAATCAACTTCTCTTTTAATATGCAAATATATTTTAGCCACACCAAATGATTTTTTAGAATGGACATAAAAACTTCCTGCTAGGAGAAAACAACGTGAAAATTAAATAAAAAATTAAAATGTTGTAAAAGAAACTAACAAAGCCTCCAGCCTTTTTGTAGATATTTTTCATTATCTCTCTGTGTTTCAGAACGTTTATGATATAACTTTCTAAACCTCTAACAGGGTTTTAAATCCTTGTACAGGAGACCTGTGTGGTAGGAATATGAGCACATATACACTTTGTGGAGAAGATTTACAAGTCATAGTTGCGAAGACAATACAGCCGTTCACAGATCAGTGGAAACCCTAAGTGTTCATTTAACCTTTAGCCTTAGTGTCATGGAAACCTGTAGTGGTCTTTCACCCATAACACCCTTGAAAATGAAGATTCCTTCTGGCCAGGAGACTTTCAATTACACTATTGATCAGAGCTATTTAAAGGATTATGAGCTCCTCATTTGGGCTGTAAAAAAACTAATTACATGCCAAAGAACAATATCTGTAATGCAGTTGGTTTTGAAAATACCTACATTGCTACACATAGGAAAGGCAATTAGATGCAGCAAATAACTGCAATGGAATAGTTAGTAACTTAAGTAATTATTTTTCCTTAATTTTTAGCTACCTAGAGAATTGAGATTTGCTGGTTTACGTTAAATCTAAATGAAAATTTACACGAATAAGTTTTCATTTGAATATACTGGCGCTGCAAGTATGCTGATATTAGATATGAGCTAAGATCAATTTTTATTTCACCAAATGGCTGAACTGTGTAGTCATAAGGAACCTTAATGACATAAAAAAAATCCTGTCAGGGTGAAAATGCATACATTTTCTCTTTTCTTGTGATATAGTGTTTCCTGTCCTATCTCTGTGTTCAGTGGGTGATATTTCAGAATTTCCAAAATAGTTTTCACATTCTGGTGTTAATAAATAATCTGTATTGGCTTTCTGTTTTCAGTTTCATTTTCAGTAAATGTGATGAACCCACAATTTGAGAAACAATTATTTTAGCTGTAAAATGTACTACTAACATCTCCCTAATATTTTTTTATTTATTAAATACCATAATGAAAGCTCTTTGGTTCTGTTGAAGGTTCCAGAGATGTGCATCTCAAACAGCTCAAATACAACAGAAACCATATTGCTTCATAATAATTTATTTTCACTTCATTGTTAGAGTCAGGTATTGTGTATGGACTGTAATGAAACAGATTCTCAGCTAGAATAAATGATTCAAACTCAACTGACATCAGTAGAGGCAGGCTGACTTACACTGGTTTAGGACCTAATCCTGCTTGTTACAATATTTAATACCAATCATATAATTGTTCAGTTGCTCAAAGATTTAAAACAGTAGCAGTGTGGCAGGTAAATATATAAAAATGAATTCTTGATTCTGTTATGCTGATTTTATGGAGGAGTCATAGCCTTGTTTTTATTCAAGTGTTTCACATTCATTTTGTATAAACGCATTCTTTAGAGTTATATTTTGCTGCTTAACAGATGGCTCAGAGAAAATAGGTTCAACAGCAGAATTATTTATGAAAAATCGGTCTTTCAAGAAGAGCTAACATGAGCATTTTACCTTAACTTCAGCATGTCACACAGGTCATGGAATGAGGTTCACTGGTTACAGAATCCTTTAAGCAGAATTTCAATCATGCACATGTAAATTATTAGGGGAAAAAAACCAGTAGAGTACATGGCTTTAAAAGGTGATGGAATTATTTGATAATAAGCTGTTAAATGGCTTGACTGAGTTTGAATTTTTCTCCACTGGAAAGTGTGGTACAGTCATTTAGACCACTCAGATTATAAAACTGTTTTGTATTATTGTTAGGTATTCTTGCTGATGAAAACTTGGAAGCTGAGTGTGAATGGGGGATGTGGTTGGTACTCACTCTAGAATAGCTATGGTGTTTCACTTTGAACTTTAACAGATTTTCTCTTTTAGGCCCTAAATCAGGTGAGCAATTAAGCACATTTGGATGCAACATTAAATGTGCTTTAGGTGCTTTCCTAAATTGGAAGAAATAAGAGATGTACCTCAGTTCTTTTCTGGATCAAGGTCTTAATTTTAATCCTGTCTTAATCAAATGATTAATGGGTCTGATGATCTTTGCTAACACAAGTTTATATATCTAGATGTTTTCTTGCAGCGGTGAAATAAAATTCTTCCAAAAATGCTTTTCAAATATACCATTGAATTGTTAACATGTATCTGTGGGTCTTCCAAAAATAATGTTTCTAGCCTTTTAGAGGCTAACTTAAACCAGGCTGTTAAAGTTAGTACTGTGTCAAGGAAAGGGCTAACTGCAGAAGAGGATCGTTAAAGGTGTGAATGCCAATGCCTGTGTCACTGTTTAGTCTTGACAGATAGGCCTCCACCCATCATCCTCCAGGGGCCGGTCAATCAGACACTGGCAGTGGATGGGACAGCTTTGCTGAAGTGCAAGGCAACCGGCGACCCCCTTCCTGTCATCAGCTGGTTAAAAGAAGGATTCACCTTCCTGGGCAGAGACCCTCGAACATCCATACAGGATCAGGGGACGCTTCAGATTAAAACTCTGCGGGTGAGTAGTGATAGCAAACAAGTGCTACAAGTGGTACATGGCTAGTCTTGAGCTGTTGGTGTGTGTCTCAAGCAGCTCTGCTGTCTTGCTGTCTGTTGTCCTCTCAATTAACTTGTCTCTTTTACTATGAAATTCTCATGAAGTCCACATTCTGTTTCATTTCTTGACTTGGTGGAGGGAAGGGGGGAGGGGGGGGGAAGAAGAGCCAAACTAGCATCAGATATTTCTATTAAAATTCCCTAAGAATAGAATTTATATTTAAAATCTTAAGTATGTTGCAATAAAACACATGAGTTGGAGATGGATAAATATGTAAAAGGACAGGCCTTCCTTATCTTTCAGCCTGTCTTACTGCAAAGCCATTGGCCTGTTTTCTCTGTTAAAACTTAGAGCAGTTCATTTTCAACACCTGATCATAATTTTCCAAGGAGCTATTGTGCTAGCAAGTGATTCTGGAGTTCATCGGGGTTTGGCCGTGCACTTTCTCCATCAATGAGTCTTGGCAGTCTTGAGCTGGCTGATTTATTCCAATGTTACGCTTGCTGGAGATGTTTCATAAGGCTGCAGATGGGAGAAGACAACTAATACTGTAACATACATGCATCATATGCAGAGGCATTTCTATTTAAAAAAAACCAAACTGTCGTATTATTTACATTTTGACACATGAGATAATACAATATCTTAAAAGTACAAATAAATCTTATAATATTCCAAATAGTATAATGTCAGATTTTGGTGATAAATATTGCATCACTAATCTTTGTTTGGGCTTTTGATTTTTTCCCTGTTCAAACATAAAACTGTGTAGTTGTTTGTGTGTATGTGGACAAGTATGTATATGGAAAAATAGTAAGGTAAATGTAATTATTTGTCAAGAACTTAAAGACAATTTCAGAAGTCATTTAATTTCATCAACAGTAATTTTTGCACTTAGCTTTCCCGTCCAAAAAAATGTCGATAAACATAGCTAACAAGGACAAGACATAAAGTGCAGTTTTGTTTTCTGATACCATCTCATCAATGTTCGTAGATGAATTGTTAACTTCCTTGGAACAAAATGGAATTTATTAAAAAATTTATGCTAGCTTTCCTTGAGTAAACAATTTATCCTTCCTCCCTGGGCTGAAGGCAGGTTTAGGCCATGAAGGTTAATGCATTTTTCCTGTTGAGCTGGATTAAAGAGTGCGCTTGAATAGTCAAGATTCCCCAGTAGTGTTAGAAAGCAGCAATTAAAGGTGGAAGCTTAGTGATTTCAAACAAACTTTCAGGCATTGATGATGGGCTTCTGTGGAGTGTCCATGAGGCAGAAGCTCCTGGGATACCTGTCTGCATGCAGCTATGCAAACAATGAAATTGGTTCTGAATCGTGCCAGCGCATTAATCTCGCTGTTAGAGGCACAAGGTCTGTAAACGAAAGGAAAAAAAATTGCTTGCAAGGGAAGAAGAAAACAGTGTTAGCAGTGAGTGTGGTTTTGAAAGACATGAAGCTTTTATTGATCCTTAAGTGGCTCATTCACTGGTAACCAATTTTCCTTAAAGGCTCAGAAGGATGTTTTTTATAAACCCTTCAATTGCAGCACTGTTTGACTCAGACTTAAGAGCAAAAAATGCAACCGTAAAACCAGATTTCTCCTGTACCTTGCAATTTTTATGAATTAAATATGACTTTAAATGTGGAATGTTCAACTTTTCTCTCAGGTCTACCTGGGCAAGGGCTAGCAACACTTCCTAAGCAAAAAAATGGCCACAGAACATGTCCACCTACACACCCAAGTTCAAAACAAATTCATAATTATCACCCACATGTCCTCAGCCTACTCCTCTCCTCACAAATAATAATCACTATTGCAATCATAAAAGATTTCAAGAAATGAGTAAAGATGGGCCACTTCTATTTAAACCTCTGCTACATAACTCTTTCTGTGTGTAGATCAAGTTAGAGTCTGCAGAAGTCACACTGAACCATGGGCCACAGTCGTAAACGTGAATCTAGAGATTTTTCTAATGAGCCAATCTTCTCGGTTGTCCTGAGGAAGACAAATAAAAAATCACATGTCACTCAGTACCCTTTCAGACAGGTGAACACTGACAGAAAACTCCCTTCTGCTCCACACAAGTGTACCACACCAGATTTAGACACCTGCATTAACTAAGGAGAAAACTGTTCATTCTACTGAATAGCAATGGTTTTCCATTCACCTCCCCTAATGTTTTTTCCATAGCACAAAAAAAGCATAAATAATTGAATTATCAATACAGTATGTCTGTATCTAATCCATCCACAGTCTGGAAGTTAGATAATTCACCATAACTTGCAAGAAGCAGCATATCTCCAGCTTGCTTTATATGTTGAGTTTGCCTTCTGCAAGTTACTCTGTTGTGTGTACCTCATACTTCATTGAGCATGCCATACACCATCTGTCACGGTAGTACACAAATGAAGTTGAGAACCATAGCCTTGTGAAATATTCTCCATTATCACATAATGAAGAAATATATATTTAATAAAAGCTCAGAAGAAGCAAAATAAAGCACTACTTCAGAATGCAATAAGGTGCTCTCCTCTGGAAAATCTGTCTCCTTTCAAGAGTCTTTCTCATTTCACTAGCAGTACCTCTATATTTTGAGTATTTGAGGCACTGTCAGAGGGGCTTAATTATTGCTTGTATTCCACAACAAAAGCACCTCCTAAAATGCAAGTCATGCTCATTCAGACTATTGAACTGGCATTAACAGTTTGCTTCCTGCCCCTAAGAATGGTATACTGCAGTCCCAGTGTATCTGAAGAAAATATCAACAAAATTCAAACATGACAATTCAAGAATCAATTAAATTATATATCAACAAGTAATCTAATGAGCATCTCACTTATTTGCCTTGACATTCTTCTTGAAGGGTGAGATATAAGCACTTTTGCTATAGTGCCAATCTGCATTTAGCAGAGCCCATTACAATTCCTTAAAGTCCAATAAAGCTTCTTGGATGCAGTCCTATTTCCGTCAAGTCATCTGATGGTGGATATAATTCTTCTCTTTTATCACTAGAGTCAGCACTCTCCCTCTTCTGCTTCCATCTCCAAATTACCGTGCTGTATTCATAGTGGTAGGAGGGCTCCTCTGTCTATTTTGTGCTTTGTAAAGTTACTGCTTTCCACCCATCTCTGTAGTCTTCACTAGTTCCTGTCTCAGAAATCTTGACTTTAAATTTAAGTAAGGAATAGCAAAACACTTGGCAAATTTTCCAGTAGAACAATTTATACAGCAATGAGATTAATATTGACAACATAATTCAAAATGGTTTCCCCAAATAAATTTGAAATATATGAACTGACAAGGAAATCACAACAGTTTTATACAAATGCATTTTTTTTTTAGCTACCAAAATATGCCTTGCAAGCCTGAAATAGAATCCCATGTCAAACAGAAGAAAAGTAAGTGTGGTGTAGGATCTGATTTATCTTTGCCAATTGAAAATGGCTTGGAGGACTGTCTGTGTAGAGAGAACCACTGTTAAGTCTCAGCAACAGTATTTGTATGTGTGGTGGCCTGTATAGAAATGACTTCATCTGTCGTAAGAGTCTAAGATGTTGTAACGTCCTCCCTGGCACTGGAAACTGTATCTCTGGGTCATCATGGAATAACAAACTGTGAGATTTTATCCTCAAAGTTAATTGTTGTTACATTGTCACCCGACTTCACCTGCATTTGTTGTAGTGAATACAAAGATTGACACTGTCTAAAACATCCATTCTGTAGCACTTACACGCTGTACTGCTACCATTAACAATATGAAAATTAGAATTAGAACAATATTAGAAGGAAGTAATCGTATTATAGTTCTCTAAAAGTAAGCCACCATTAAATGATTGTTTGAAAATGTTTGGTGCCCTGTAGTCTGATGTAAAATGTAGGCTAAGTCCTTCTTACCAAGAAACATTTAAAAAAAGAAAATTAGAATAAACTCTGTCAACTGATTCTAAAAGGTTGTTAAAACTGCCCTTAACTGTTGTTCATGTCTAGCTGTCTGATACTGGGACTTACACTTGCGTTGCTACAAGTTCCAGTGGGGAGACGTCATGGAGTGCTGTGCTGGAGGTGACAGGTAAGCAATGTCCAGGGGCTGTTTTTCAGTTGGCACAAAATGAAAGTGTAGGCTATATTAGAGCAGCCTGATTCAAATAATCCGCTCTAGAAATTCTGGGATTGAGATGGAGAAGTTTTAGGTGGGAAGGCTGAGTTCCGCCACACACCTTGCATTTCATTGCTATTATCTTTAAATGCCCATTGACATTGCAACGATTTGTATTTGTCTCTGGTGACAGTGGTATGCTATAACTCTTCTAAACAGGAATATTAATAAACTGTGGATTTATTGAATAATTGGCTTGGACAAGAAAACTATTATGCCCAGACAGAGTCCTATCAAAGTCCAGTGTGCTCTCTGTGAGTACTGGAGTTGATCTGGATATAGGAATTTTCTCAGCCTTCTAGTAAATGAGGTTTTGATATTTTATGTACATTTCAGAAAAGCTGGCCTTTATTATTATTCTTTCGTTTCTTTTTTTATATATTTATATATAACCATTTGAATTTTGGAGGTTTTTTCTTTCAGTATGTACGTAAAGAATGATAGCTTTTCATCCAAACATATACATGGTAATGCAATTGTTGACTTACTTCTTTACAGATTAAGAACATTGGTTATGCTGATTTTGCAGATGTTTGGCATGTTTTTCCTTTTAGTCTTCTACTTTGATCAAATGTACACAATCAAGGGTAAAAAGTAATTGTTTTGTATTTGTCCCTTACAGAATCCGGTGGAGCAACAGTCAGTAAAAATTATGATATAAATGACCTCCCTGGGCCGCCATCCAAACCTCAGGTCACTGATGTTACTAAGAACAGTGTCACCCTGTCCTGGCAACCAGGGACCCCTGGAAGCCTACCAGCTAGTGCATATATTATTGAGGCTTTTAGGTATGTGAATTATTCCACTTTTAATCTTCCCTTCTAATTTTGCTTAAACCCTGGTACCAGCTGTTCTCCTGGTATTGTGGTGTTCTTTTGGTCTCTACACATATCATTAGAAGTTCATTAAAAGACTCAACTCCTATGGCAGGCATTGATTCTCATTTTTTAAATTGATTTTTTTTTTCAATTTATCACTTTTTTCTGAGTGATTAATTAGAAGAGCATCTAACTATTTCTTCAGGTCAACAGGAATATAACAGGACAATGCAGTCATTATTTGTTACTTTTCCCTTTGCATTGATGATCAGTTGAGAGTCTCCTGTGGGAATGCTGGAGGTCAAATAATTTGGGGCAGTGCTATCTTGTCTATCATAGTCCAAATAGTCTGAAAATACATGGATAATCCTGAAGCCTCTCTGCATACATTAATTCCTGTTCTTGTTAAAGCAGCACCTAGTGAAGAATCAAAACACTTTAAATTTATATTTTTTACTGGTTTAGATAGATTAAAACTTTTAACTGAAAAGGCTAGTGTTGATAATTTAGGTTATCGTACTACAGGCTGAAGTTGAAGAGAGTCCAGCTGCTCCCTTCCACACAGCAGCACTTAATACGTAGTAGGAAAGAACTCCTGGGCTCCAGTTCAGCAAGTTTGTTTAAACGTGGGCCATACCTCTCACATACCTCGCTTCCACTTAAAAATGTGCACATTCTTAAATACTTTCCTTAGTCAAGATGTGCAACAAATGACAAATTATTTAGTTTATCTTTTAATTAAAATTCATGCAAGAATTTGTCAAAATCATATGCATGCAAATTTAAGAAGTAACAGCAATAATGCGTCATCTTGCTATGATAATATACAAAGAATATTACTGTATGTGCAGACTGTTGGTTTTGCTCTGGAACTTGTACTATCCTTTAAGCATTACATGAATGAAACAATTGAAATAACATGAAACTTGTTGCTTTCCATTTTCTTTTTCCTTTTAATGTATTTAAAGCAGTTTTTCAGATCTTTTCTTTTGTAACTTTGAGTACAAATTTAGTTCAAGGAGAATACTTTTGTTCCAACGACAATTTATTGACTTAATTTGCTTAGCAGTATAGAAAATTATTCTTTTAGCATGATTTTCTTTTCTAAGGTTTATGTTCAAGAGAGGCCTATTTATCATTCAAATTTACTTTACAGCTTTACACACTTTCGTTTTGCAGATACTTGTTTTAGAGAGATAGAAAAAGGGTTTGCTTCTGTTGAAAGGAGAAACACTTTGGACAGCTGTGTTATTTTTTTTTATCCCATCTTGATGAGTTGATTGAAACTAATTATTTATTTTTACACTGCTTTACTACTTTTTCCTGTACTTAGACTTGATACAGGGTCACAAAAGTAGGTCCTTGCACTTTATTTTTCTCTTGCATTAGTCTATAATCTTCAATCCTGTTCTCATTGCAGTCAGTCTGTGAGCAATAGCTGGCAAACAGTGGCTAACCATGTGAAGACCACTCTCTACACTGTGAGAGGACTGCGCCCCAATACAATCTACCTGTTTATGGTGAGAGCTATCAATTCTCAAGGTCTGAGTGATCCCAGCCCTATGTCAGATCCTGTCCGAACACAAGGTAATAGTAATTATTAAGGTTTACATGCTTGAGCTAAAACAGAAAGAAGGAACTGAGAGTTGACCAATAGGTCAGTCTGGCCATTTGGCTTTAGTACTCTGACTGAAGGAATCATGAATCGAGCTTAACCAATAAAGATAAATAATAGTCCAGTGTTTGCTGTATCAATCTGGAGTTTAGGAGAGATAGGTTAGCTCTTAAATCCTTGGTATGTTGTAGACCTTTCGGGTTGGAGTTCACTTAGACTTGGTGTGCTCCTTGATTCCTGGTTTCTACTGAAAGTAATGTGAATTATCCAAGCTTTTCTGAAAAGTGCTCTGAAATACCATGCTCTCCTCAGTATCTTTTCTCTATATATCCTTACTTCTTCTCCATTATTGTAATAGGGATATACTATAATAACAAGTGCTTATGACAGACAGACACCGTGTTTAACGTGAGTTTTAATCAAAAGAATTGCACAAAATATCTGTAATGCATTGATTAATCTTGTCCAACATTTAGGCAGAGAATTCATGTCAATTAAGGCATCTGCATGCTAAGAATATTTTGAAGTTATTCTGAGGAAAGTATAGGTCTTCTATTTATACACCTAGATTTCTGAATTCTTTGTGTTAATCCACTGCATAAACCAAGAGGGAAGGCTGAAGTGAAATCCCTCATTTATAGGGTGGTGATATAATTGATAGCTGGGATCCTCCATTGCAGTCAAATTGACTATTGAATTCTGTTCATGTTACATCAAACTCTGGCCGCGTATAACTGCCACAAACAGATTTCTCTTCACTGCATGGACTTTGACAACATGTTGCTTGAATACTTCATTAACAAGTGTAGTTCTGTGTTAAACAGGTTGGAATACAGGAATTAATAATTTTTTTGAATAACAATTTTTTCAAGTCCAAAGTAATAGCTTCTCTCACAGTTAATTTAGAATGAGACCCTCTGTCTCTGTTTATGGAAGTTATAAAAGCATGCGTGGAGAGTTCATCCTGTCTCAGCCTCCAGCACGTGTAAGTGGTTTGGGCCCTTTGCTTTTCCGAGATGGAAAGAGAGAAACAAGAGTAGGGTGGTATTTCTTTATCATATAACCACCACATCCAGCCTCTCTCATCCCAGTCTATTCCTGAATAAATCTGTCCTTAATAATTATCGCCTCAAAATAGTAATCGTTGGTGTAAAAGAGGAGAAACAGAGCTGCTTTCTGAAAAGCTGTAGGAGTGAATTGGGCAGGGATTTCATGGCCTGACTATCCACCGGGTATCACAAGTTACCTTCTCTTTCTTACTCTCCCATTATTATAGGGTGACTCATGCTTTTCATTGCACCAGCCTTTTAGTCTGCATAACTTACCACCTAGTTAAAAAAACAACTTTGTTTGGCATTTGAGTGTCAGGTATAGACTTTTTATCTGACATACTGACAAGCAATTTGATTTCAGTAAAAACATGTCTTTTAATTAGCTACAGCATGTGTTGCAGCTTCCATTTCCAGAAGCTGTTTAGCAGTCAAGCACACTGAGACATGTACAGAATTTATAGCTTCTTTGCAAGCCTGCAGTTTAATAGAATTAAATCATAAAATCAATTGAAAATTAACATAATGTTTTGATGCGATTTCTAATTATGTTTGAATTCAATTCAGGCTCACAGAAGAAGCTGACACACAGTAGAAAACCTATTCACAATGGCCACGGAGGAAGAAAAAAGCAGCTATAACAGCGCTATATAGTATTAATTTGCAACAGGTGTCTGGTAGTTTTAATAGCTGAGCATTTAATTTCCTGGTATTAAGTATAGCAAAGACAAGTAATAGGATTTTATGCATATTTTCACCAGTGGTCTACAAGTAGACAGCAAGGCACTTTCTAAAGCTTTACCTTTATGGCTTATATCAAATAAGGACAGAGAAATCAGTAATTACTCTAAGAAAAGAGTTGGTTTCTTGTTTGGATTATTAACAGACCAAACCATATATTAAAAAACACTTTAAAGAAACTATATATAATCCTATCCCTGGAATTTAAATTACTAGCAACTAATAGTAAGTTCACTGGAAGCTGTTAAAAGAGGAGTTAGAGAAAATATATAACCAAATTTTAGAGACCTCTTAACTGTGATCAGAATATAGCTTCTTGAGCCAGATTTGCTTGAGTCATGATTTTATTATTCCAATATCTGACAATGTCCTTATAAGTAGATCACCTGCTTTTCCACCAAGAGTCTCCTAGTAATGTGAAAATGACATTACAAGACATTACACTGTGATCATTGCATATGCATGTTTCCAAGTGTACATACCAGAAAACAGAATTCTACACGTACATCTTGATACTCATGTCTTACTGTTATTAGTCCATGTTATTCCCTTACTTCTGTACATGTCCCATTAAAATGATGAAATGCAGTTCATACAAACACACTATATAGAAATGTCTTTTCTCCTGAGGGAATATAGGTACTCAGTTGGTTGTATACCACAGGAAAACTTAACCTAAAATGTAGCCATGGGTATACATATGTGTGTGTATATATATATGGGTATATATTTTGTACCAAGGATCATAGCTATCTGTGGATAGCAGCATAACTTATCATCCTGTAAACCAGTCTGAATTGCTGTCTTACAGATTTATTTTATTATATCTCTCTGTTTCATGGTCACTTTGAATAGGCATAACTTGCTAGACAAGCTCCTTCAGTAACATCCATATTTTGATTATATTCCCTTTGGAGATCCATGAAGCCATTTTCATTTGAGTATCAGTAGAAGCCTGTGGCAATATTGTTTATTGGTGGCTCAGAACCCATAACAATCCAGAATAATGAAGCTGAAATATTGATGGTCAAAACCTACTTTCTTTCAAAATCTGGAAGCATATGATTTAAACAAAGTTGCTATATTTAAATCTTTCATTTTTAAGAGCACTATTATTTCTTCTTAATAATATTTAGACGATAAAATGCTTCATACTCTCATATCTAAGACCATCAGAGGGGGGAAAAGACCTTTTTTGTAGGTATTCTGTTCACAAGGACATGATGTTGATTCAAAAAGAGGGGAAAGTGTCTTTGGCTAGTGAATCCCATGGGAAAGCCAAGCAGAATTCACAGATGCCAAGATGTACATGACCTTGATGTATTGGCCCTTTTTGGATATAATCTGTGTTTGTGTTCCAAATCCCCTCTTCTAGAAAAATTCAAAGTAAATTCCAGCAGAAATAATCAATATGTGTATTTCTAATAGGCATTATGCAATCCACATAGACAGTTGACATAGTAAGAGCATCTGTAACTATTGACCAAGATACAGTGTTGTAAGATCCTTGAAGGATCCATTGACAGGATCCAGACTTCACTGGCTCCTAGGAAGTACCCTCACTTCAGTCTAGGTTGGAGGGAAGCGTCATGCTATGGTGATATATTAACTAGGTGATATCTGTAGCCCAACATTCTCCTTTTGATGCAATGTAACAGAAAATGATGATTTCCAGGAACTATCACTAAAAAGACACATTGCACATCTCCTTCTCCATTTTCTGACACACTCTTTTGTATTTGCAGTTCCTATTTAGCAAAGGTAATACAGCTTCATTCAGTTTAACACTATGGCATAACCGAAATGTGGTTCCTAAGGACTAGCTGCCAGGGCTGCGTGGTACTGGAGATGGAGTCACAGTTTTCCATAGATGTATACAAAGTGATCAAATTCCTTCAGGTTTTGACTAGAAGAAATAATTTTCCCACATAGTTTGAAGAAATCTTTGACGTAATCTTGAAGAGAAAATTTTTGTGATAGAGTGTTTTTGTTGGCCTTTTATTAGATCAGAATCAATTTGCCTTCAAAAGTCAATTCTTTTTTTGTATTTGCACTAGATTTTATTATCTATATCTGTAAAGGGAAAATTTGCTTTGCAGAAGAAAGGCCTATTTTTAGTGTTTGGTTTCTTGTGTGCATGGCATGTGGGGAGGGGAAGCTTAGTGAAAATTTGGAATCATATAATGACTTAATGTCATGTATGCTCTAAGAAAATAAAAATAAAAAAAAAAACCTGTTCATTTTCTTCAATTATACTAACCAATTTGGTTCCAGACATCTGGGCAACATTATTATTATCTGAGTATTTTGGGACTAGTGAATATTGCATCTCTCTCATCACTTACCAGATCTGAGAAAACTTTGCCATTGAGTCTGAATACTCATTTAGACGTTACTTGATATGCTTTGGAGTTCATATTTAAACTTTAGTACTGTATTGTTTTAAAAACAGTACTATACGGGGTGTTTAAATCAGGCTGTTAAGCTATTCAGTAGCTCTTATTGATGCCATATATAACACTTCGCATTAGAATAATGGTTCCATGTGTGTACCTGGCCTGGCAGATATCAGCCCACCAGCACAAGGAGTGGATCACAGGCAAGTCCAGAAAGAACTGGGAGATGTCATTGTACGACTGCATAATCCTGTTGTGTTGACACCCACAACAGTTCAAGTCACCTGGACGGTAAGGCTTCTGTTGTTACTACCTTACTAGTACTTTAATTTTGCCCTATTTATCCCTTCAGTTTTTTACTACCCTGGAGATCTCTAGTCTTGGCTTCAGACGTTATACAGGCATATATATGTGGTAATGAAATGGTCTTTTTATTTTCTCTTTCAAGTCAGGCAGGTTCAAAGTCTTCAGTGTTCAGCTCAAAGCAAGCTAGCTGTCTGACTGGAGAAAGAGTATAAAAATGAATATGCTTAACACCATAATCTAAAGGATAATTGATCTGTGGACCCATTACTGTGCATGTCAAAAAATAATCAAAGTTAAATACCAACATGAAATTGCTGTATGAAAAAGCACTTTCCACTTCAAGGCATAGGGACATCTGACAAAAACCTATTATTTGGTGACCCTAAAATGCAAAAATACTTTTCTTATAAGTCACTTGTAGTGAAGTCAGAAGCACGTGGTGCTGATACCTGATCCGCTGTGTAGCATCTGGTTTTCTAGAATAAGCCTTACCCGCAATCAGTGGATATCCTTTCATTATAGAAGACCAGAATCTTTTTGGCAGTACTTAACAACGTTTCTATTTGAGGGGTCAAACTACTGGGTAGAATTTCTGATATAGTATTTGGCTTTCAAAATGCTATGTTTCCCTTCCTGAGGCTTGAAGGAAAGGTTTTGTAACTGTGGAAGGAAAGAGAGAGAGTTCCTAGGGTGCTGCACACCAGAAGAAGAGTGCTTTGCTCTTGGGGCATCTGCCCCAGAGGAAGGAGAGCCACGGGTGGAAGCGTGAGAGAAATAGTACTACACTGCCCGTCACTGAAACAGTTGCATTATATAGGATGAATTCTGCTAAAGGGGTATTCACAATACTCAGGGTTTTTCTTCTGCATGTAATATTGCTAAGAGGTTAATGTGTACAGAGGATTATACAACAGGAGATAAGCAGTGTGGTAGTAGATTGTGTATTATAAGGATTACCAGTGTTTTTGCACAACTCAGCCATATTTATGGGCGCTTATGCACCATGCTTGTTCTGACAGATTTCAATGGTCTGGGGGCAGATTAGAATAAATAGAGAAACCCACAAATTTGTCTTTCTTAGAAGATTATTTAGAAAATGTGTCATTGCATTTTGCCATTGATGATGTCAATATGCAGCTTGCCTTTCTAAAAATGCCCTCTCTTTCAGCTGCATAACTTCAAGACAGGCTGACTAATCTTTGTAGCAAACTCTTTTGCCCAGGCAGACATTTCCCCAAGCAGATGGGTCAGTAGTTTAGAAATTTTGGATGTTAGCAGCTAGTAATTGTAAACCTGGATCACATCCATGTGGTGCTCCTTCAAGTCCTTTCTTGGCTGTGACAGCTGTCAGGAATACAGTTTCACAGGCTTGCCCTTGTTTTAGCATGCACTACAAAAGGAAGCCCCAATATAAACAGAATTCAGTTTTATGCAATGTAACCAATGTCATTATATTACAGTGAGATATATATGCATTTATGTGTGTGTATATATCTATATGGGGGGGGTGTGTGTGCTTATATGCATATTTACCTATCTAAAAGAGTCTCTTGGTGCCCCTACTGAACAAGTAATGAGTGAAGAAAACATGGTAAGGTAAAGGTAAATTGTTATGGATCCTATGGATATCAGCTTATTGGGAAGATCCCTCAAAGCAGTGACCCTATGCCACCTGACAAGCAAGCATACAGGCCTCTGTAGAGACATTTTGGAATTGCCTGAGGGAAGAAAGACACAAAAAAAGATCTCTGGAACAGCTAATTAGAAACTAACCAGCAACCAGAACAAAACCAATTAATTAACCATAGTCTCTAGGAAAAAAGTCACTCTATCCAGAGAATAAAGTTCACACTATTAATATAAAATGGTTAGATAGTGTAGCTATCTTACAAAAGGACAGAAGTGCCATGAGAGTCATAAGGCCCTTTGTGTTGACTTTCTGCAATTTAAAGAGTGAATGCCAAAGAACGTCCTGGATTACTGAGTTTCTGGCATCCTGACTCCCAGCAAACTAACACCAATTTCCCCCTTCTTTCTGAGATTGTTTTGCTTTTGCTTTCTCTTTTTTTTTTTTTTTTTTTTTTTTTTTCAAATATGAATTTAAAATCTCGGAAATAGTTCTCTGCTACTGTGTTGCAATTTTACAGTATACACATACAAATATACACACATATTTTGTTTTAAAAGAAGGTCAGGCTTACAAAGTCAATGTTAAAAAAAGGAAAAGGAATATCAGAAGTTAGGTTTTCACTGTCACTTAAATGTATTCCTCTTGTGCGTAAGTATTAAAGCGTAGCTGTAATTATCTGGTCACATACAGGATCTCTTCTTCATGGAGCTATTGAACATTTCTTTTTATCTTCTTTGTTCACTGTGTGGTGCCAGGTCTTATTAAATTCATACCATTGAAACCTCACATTGAATAAAAAATTATTAGTTTGTCTCGCATGCTTGCTTATCTGTCATGCTCTCAACCGTAACATTTGGGTGCTTCACAAATAATACTGAATTTAACATCACAATGATAAAAATGTGTCATTATCCTAACTTTACACATAGAGAGGTGAGGTGCAGCAATATTTATTGCTGATGAGACTTACAGAATCAGATATGCTCACTGTTATCAAAAGGCTAATTTTAAACCTTGGCCTGACTTATTTTTACTTTTACCAAAACATTTTGCATTGCAACAGCATGTGATGTACTACAAGCACTTTTTCAGCTGGCCCCAACTATAGTTCAGCGCTTCTAGCCTCACTGGGCATTAAACTGAGAGTTTCATTAGTGGCCAAATGTGAAAAGTTTCCTAGCATTATAAAGGAGCCTTGTGTCACAAGCAGGAATAAAAATCAGTTCTTCAACATGGCAAAAGATTTGTTGCTTTGAAATCCTGACTGCCTTCTAGGAGGCTACCAGGCAGAAGGATAATTTATTTACCTCTGTCTTTTAATTTGACATTGATTTTAAATGAATGTACTTCCCTGGAAGCTTCAAGAGTCAAGTCCTTTAGACAGTCTTCCAGTGTATTGTCACCTTTTGTCTTGTTTCTGTAGGATAGATAGATGCTAGTGCTGTTTGAATTTCCAGATTATTGTGAATCTGTACTAGTGAGTTCAGCCCAGTGTGCAAGGCATTCTGCCTGGATAGAGAACTGATGTGGGAGCAGAGCATTTCTTAGGATATTTTGGGGTAGAAATTCACATACCACAGAGCATATTGCAAAATGTCTTTAGGGCGCAGATTAGCAGGTTTGCCTGAAAGGAGCTTATATTTGCAGCATAAGCTGCATTATGAGTTTCTTGCCATCTTTTTAACAACGTAATAGCCTAACCAAATGATCTAATGGCTGTTGAACCTGTCTCATGTTCAGCTGTGGCATGTGCAGATTTGAACGCGCAGGGAAAATGAGTTTCTGTTCTGCAGAAATGGAGAGTTGTCGTCAGTTTTGTAGATAACCTCCCATGCTATGTATTCATCGTAAAAGAGGGTGAGAAGAGCATGCAGGACCAATTATGCTTGTAGGTCGCCTTAAAGCATTAGGTCAGTGCTGAGCAGAACCTACCCAGTAATTGCTCTCTTCTGTCTTTTAAAGGAGCATCTGCATTTTCTGCCACCTGCCTTTTGAGGCAGAAAGTGTATCTTTAGATCAGCAACTGTTGCAGCTCTTTTGAGTGGATGCCACTGCTGCTTGTACTAATTGCAGAGTAGTTAAAGAGTGTCACAGAAAGACTAGAAATATTCTCTGATCCCGGTATTCAGCACGGAGAGCTCCTGCAATCTCTGTACTAATGCGAAGTGCTTTGTATGAGGAAGTGGGCAATCATTTACAAAAAAAAAAACAGAAAGGAGAATACCTAGAAATTATTTAATTCTTTCATCGAATCACTGTGCATGTTTCTGCAACTCTGCCTATGTGTGAATCTGTACCAAACCTACAGAGTTGTTTGATGCTTAGCACAGCTGAATGCAGTTCTTTAATGTGAAGCATATTTTTAGTGGCATGCTGTTGGCGTGACACATAATTACCACATAACAAATGGAGGAAACTATGAAGTCACAGGCTTTGTATTAACACTGTGTGTGCATGTATATATAGACACATATGTGTATACTTACATATACATGTACACACATATATGTGCGTGTGTGTATATATATGTGAACTATTTACCTGTCCTATACTTCAGAAATATCTCTGGTTAATCCATGCAATTATCCAAGAGTAATTTTTTGCTAGTCAGAAAACTCCAAGCAAAACAAAAAAATCCACCTTTCCCTATAAGTGATGTGCCCTCTGAGTAGTTTGACCATATGATGGGCCCTGTTCATTCATACTAACTTTAGGTCGGCACGAAAGCGAGCTTTGTATCCTCTCCTTGATACTAAATGCAAGTGGATGTTTATAGAAAACAATAAAAATGCATAGTATTTTCTTTTGTAAGTACCCTCCCAGACCCTGAACAATGAAATCACTTGTCAATAATCAGCACTTTGGGCAGATCATTCAGCCCTGTTGTAATCAAACTTCTAATTGAAAGCTCTGTGAAACTTGTGTGAGCCCAAATCAAGCCAGTTTATAGTACCCATATACACGACAACCTTGTTGTACTACCGTGTTCTGTTTTCATATTCCTTGCATTGTTTAGTCTTTTAGGTTAGGAACTTAGAAGTCTAAGAGGAAAAGAGGTGTATGAATAATTTGTATGTTACCTATATGTAAGTGTGTAAGAAAGTGTGATGGACTCAAATTAGTATACTATAGGTACTATAGGGGTCCAGTTCTTCTCAGAGAGTTGGTGGGTGCATTTGTGTTTGTACCATGCCATACAAAACAGTTTTCCTGCCATTTTGTAGCAACATACCGTTACTGTTCAGCCTCGTCACTTCTGAATTTTCAGATGTTCTCCACTAGGCAGCAGTCACTAGAGCTTAAAAGCACAACAAAGACAAAATGGAAAGTTCTAACAAAGTTGTGCAGTCTTTCAGCATAGCTTCTAACTCAGAAGTTAGGCAGGAATCAAACTCAGTGTTTGATTATTAAACATCATAGCCTTATATTGTAGTTTAGGTTGAGAATCTGTATTACAAAGTGCATGAAAGCGTTATTCTTGCTGAATTTTGTAGTAAACATGAGGTTCATAAAGTCTTTATGTCCGTAAAACATTTAGTTAATGAAAGTCAAACATGGATAAAAACAATTTACTCTGATTTACAGACTCCCTTCATCTGGAAACAGCTGCTTAATGTTCTTCTTAAAAACACAGCTTGATTCTTTCGGTATTAACAAGCTATTATTGTGAGTTATATCCCTCTTTCAGTGCATAAATTCACTTAAAGTGAATGCAGAGAAGTTTATAAAATGCAAGCTTAATGTTGTTGTAACATATGTTGCAAGGTTTTTAACAGTGACAGTTTTGATGAAAGACATTTCTGCTTTGCTCTCATAAATAAAGCTTTCTTCTTGCTTGCCCTGCTTTTTAATGTCTAAGAATCTGTGTCCCCTCTGAATGCCTCAATAAACTGTAACAAGATTATAGGAGAAACGTAATAGCCCCTGGTTTGTGTTTTCAGCCTTAAATTCATTTATTCTTAAGAGAAGTCAAACAAATGTATCACTAATTCTGAAATATTTTTGAGCTAGCAAATTGTCAAGAACAGAAGAGAAATCCTACTTGTTGAATCTTAATTATAACCCAGAGATTTACCAAACAGCTAGTTGTATAGTCTCGTTATTTGTGCTGCACTTTCTTTGGCTATTTATTTGATGGCTATAGAAGCAGCTGGGTTTGGTTTCGTTTTATCCATCAAATTGTTTTGACTGTTTTTTCAGGCAAAATTCATGCAAACATTATTATAGCTTGAATAATTGGCTTGTGCTCCTTAAAAACCCCCCCCCCCAAAATACTTGCAACCTCTCAAAGACAAAACACATTTTAAGTTTTTCCTTAACTAAAAATCCTATTTATAGCTGTGATAGGTTAGAATTGTTAAACTTCTATGTATGGTCCAATCTTGACTTGTGCTTGCCTAGCAACATATAAAATATAAACCAAACCCAACATTCCATCTCCATCTGATGGCCTGAGAGCATCACAACCCCAGGATGCAAAGAGACTGCTTAGACTGTAAACACAAGAAATGGCACATGTCCTTGGAAGTTGTTTTCTCTACATCTGTCTTATGTTTATTTTACTTTCCTGAGCATCTCATGAAAAGATGAGCTGTGAGCCAAGTAATGGACTAATTGAAAGCATGTAGGATATCTTCAAAGACTTGTCCTTTTCTGAAAAGAATTTGTTTTTCTTTTCTTCTCATATTTCAGCACATCAGTAGCCAAGATGTGCTTAATAAGTTTACATGCAGTGAGCATTATGCCAAAGTTCTCTTTTCATGATCTGTTGCAGGGCTAGGGCCTTGCTTTATGATTTAAGGTGGTATTTGTCATGATATATAGAGCTAGAGAGTTAAATAGAAAGAAATGTTCTATAACAAGTAATGTGAGAAAAATGTTCTTTATAGACAATCAACAGTGACTTACGAGAAGTCAGTTTGATTTTTAAATTCAGCATCTTAAACATCTGTTAATTTTCTCTTTTTCATGAGGACAAAAGTATTCTAGGCAAATGTTTAGTTTTCTTTTTATGCAGTTTCATTACCTTAATATGTTTATTGACATATTATTTAATGCCATTTCTAGGTTGACCGCCAATCCCAGTTTATTCAGGGATACCGAGTAATGTATCGCCAAATGTCTGGCCTACCTTCTCCAGCTGTGTGGCAGAATTTGGAGGTCAAAGTCCCAACTGAGCGCAGTGCTGTCCTCGTCAGCTTGAAAAAGGGAGTCACTTATGAAATTAAAGTTCGCCCTTATTTCAATGAATTCCAAGGAATGGACAGTGAATCAAAGTCTGCTCGTACCACAGAGGAAGGTTAGTAAAATGGTCAGAAAAGCAACAGGCTTCCATACTGAGCACTGGAGGTGAAATCAAGAATTGGTTATTGTGTGTATGTGTATGTTTAGCTCTATTTCTGCCACATGATTTCTGTTTGTTAGATACAGGGTTGGCATTAGAATTTTATATAATACTCAGTTTTGCGCTCTAAGTATTTGTGAGAAAGCACTGGGCCAGTCCTGTCATCTTCTGGCTTCTAATGTATAGGTGGCTTTGGGTCTTCCAAAAAAGGTGCACTGCAGCCTTTTTTTTACAGCCAGTGTTGCTGCAATAGAAGACTTCGGTCTGCACTTTGAAAACAAAACTAATAAATGAAACCTCTTACAGATTAGTGGTTGATCTTAAGCACATCCTTCTGAATGGGTAATAAAATAAATGAACAGTTTGGTTGGGAAATGGGGGACTAGAGAAGGACAGATACTTAACTAGTCTGCAGGAACTCCAGTCTCAAGGGCATGCCACTTCATTGGTTCTGTTAGCACACCGTTCATGAAACTGCCCTATTTAGTCCTTCGGACGATTTCCTTAAGTGCCTTTCAGGCCTCTGTGAAACATGCAGGATGCAGACATAGTAAACAGCTTGCATTACTGAAATGCACGAGCATTTTTATTTGTAGCATGTAGCACGTTATATAGTTTTGCTAAAACATATGCGCTCCAGGACTGCTTTTTTATTGGAAAGTAAAGGGAGTGAAGTGAGATATAAGCAATTTTTATCTTTTTCTCTTAGAAATGTACAAGAAACCTATCTTTCTACCTATTTAATGCAACCTTTGCCTGGAGAATCTGTCCTGTAAAAGTAGAAGGATGATCATAGCAATGAGGGTTCATCTTCTCACTGTTTCATTGATTTCTTTCAAAGCAAGGGAAAGAAATATGGTGAAGTTTCAAAATGCTCTTATGGTTTCAGTGGCTTTTGTGTTACAGTAGTCTCCTGAGGTTTAATTTTGTGCTGATTGCCAAGTACTTTTTAATTCTAGAAAGGACTTGCTTATTACTCACTTTTCTCTTTGATTTGTTGTGATTATTGCCCAACAAGTAAGTAAGCCTGAAGATAACTTGGTTGCCATTCATACTTTATAGATGAGGATATTCAGTGTCCTGCAACATGTAGAAGAGCATGTAGGAAGGCACTGTTCAAGTCTGATTTAGAATTTGGGACTTTATGGTTCCCGTATCTTTGTTCAGACTACAAAGCCTAAATCAATCAGTAAAGAATATCTTTGCAGCAGTCTGAACAAAGCTTTTTTAAAAAAAAAGAAAATTGAAAAAAGCTTTCTACAGGTGATATTGCTTTTCTAGAGGTAAAATATAGGATTTTGTCCCTTCACTAGCAGATTTTCTTCTTGTCCAATTTAAATTGATTTTTGTTGTTTATTTAGTTCATCTGTCTCTTGCTAAAGGTAAATTAAGAACTACTGAAAAAGAGAGAAGATTTTGTACCTCTTCTCTATTTCTATAAAATACTTGAGGAATGACATTTTCTTTTATAAACCTCAACTCCCAGCAGAGTCTGTCAGGTAATTTCCTACTTTAAAGGCCACTTTGTTCATGTGGAATAACTTGCCACATAGCGAAGATTTTAAAAACTCTGCTTGCCTACAGATATGTATAACTCACAGCCTAGGATCCACTTTGTGGATTAATATAACCTTCAAGGAGTCTGTTTACAAGTACCTCTCTCAAAAAACCATCAGCCTGTAACACGTAGTATTATCACCAGAGAAATGTCAGCCCCTGTAAATAATTCTTCCTCTCACTTGGGTGATAAAGTTAAGTAATTCCATGAGAAAATTAAGACATTCGGTAGATGCAGTTCTACTGATCGTCCCTTTAATTCCTCACATTAGTTTTGTAATTATATTGGTGTTCATATATTTCAAGAATAACATCAACTAAATGTTTAATGACAGTGGTTTTTTTCTCATCTAATGAAGAAAGATGGCAGTCTATTTAAAGGTATCCCACTTGCTGTGTCACCTGTGATTCCATTTCGAAAATGAGCTTTTTTAGACTTGACTTTTAAAAAATGTCAGCTATACTATTTTTAGAAAATAATTTGGAAGAGTGATACGCACGTTGGAAGTTTTTTGCGACATCAAAACAAATAGCCCTGGTAAAGGCGAAGTATGACCAAAAGGTAGTGGCAGCTTTCTGCTGGATTGAATTTTACATGCAATGTTACTTCTGAGGCCTACCTCCAAAAATCAATTTTGCTGCAGTTAGACTTTTCCTCTAGATCAGACATTTGTCACAGTTCAGTATCCATCCATCTCCTGCCTCTTTGGCCTTGTGAAGGTAACAAATGGAATTCTGTTTGGCTGCGTCTGGAAAAGATGAGCAGCGATTTGGGTTCTTTCATATCTGTAAGAAGAAGCTGAGCACTGGAATAATTGACCTGTCAAGAAGCTGGCAAGGTGTTCTCCACAAGCCAGCAGCAAGGGAAATGAGAAAACGGTTTTAAAAATGTTATTTTTCAGTGTGGTCTATTTAATAACTGCAGCAGTGTCAGACAAGTGGCTTAATTTATATCATGGTGCCAGCTTACAGAGTGATATTATCAGAGAGAGGAACCAGAACTGTTATATACATATATGTGTATGCACATATGAAAAAGAGCTAAGTAAAATATTTCGTTTTATAATTTTCACTATTTCTTTCACACTTGCTCTAAAGATAGATGATTTTTTTTTCAATTACATTCAGTGTTTTAAATCTCTTTTGGAACAACTTTGTGGAGTAATAGGTGTTCTGCATATTGGTTGTCATCACAAAAATATGGTAGTCAGTAATGGAAGTCTCGCTAGTTTTTATCAGCTGCTGTCTGTCAATTCCTTCTTGTCTTAGTGCAGCTCTTAAAATGATACTTTCAGCTGCATTCATCAGCTGCAATTTTAATTTTGCTTCAATCTTACCATATATCAAAAAAAAAACCCCAGGCAGACACACACTGGTGGAATATTAACTAGAATATTCATGCAGTTTAAATGCGAAGACAAATGAATGCAGTATGTTTTTCTTTAACTGTTAGAGTATGGTATTCATGTTACATTTCTTTAGCATTTACTCTCCTCTCTCTCTCTCTCTCTCTGTGTTTCCAGGTATTTGTGTCTAAGACATTATATTTCTGAATTCCCTTTCTGTTTGAGGATAAAAGTAAATATATTTCAGCAAGTTGTTCCATTGTGCTTAAAACCAAAAATGAGTTATACAGTGTTAAGTTTTGCCATTTTTATGATTATTATTTTAATGTAAAATGTTGTTCTAATTAATATCACACACACATTTGTTCATGGTTTTGTTGTTATTGAATAACTTGAAGACTTTTAAAATGCTAATTTTTTTACTGTGTGGCAAATTATTTCACTTGCCATAAAATACACAATGCAGCTATTAACTTCACCGATTTTATGCTTTGCACGATTGTGAGGAGTAGCCAAAGGCCACCTTTCCGTGCTTCGCTTGAGCCAGCTATGAGTCAAATTGCCCACAATAGAGCTCCGTTTCTCCCCTCTAGTCCACTGTTTCTCTGCATCATTCAAGGTCACAAGGACTCTACCAAGCACTATGTGCTGTGCAGCTGAACCAGCAAATGTAGTTGTCAAAACGTGCAGCCTCATAGGACAGTAATACATGTGTTGTGTTTCCTCTAAAATATTTTTTTCTGATGTAATCTTGTATCATCCCTTGTCCCCACCTCTGATACCCTAGTTTTAAGTTGTGTGATTCCTGCAGCAGGCTACTCCAACTCTGCAGGGTTACCAGGGAAGGATTTGAGATCAGCTCCTTGAGCCTGTGCCAGGCCAAGTGCTGAGGAGCATCCGAAGTGGGAACACAGCCAGTCTCAAAGAGGCCACGGGGACCAATAAGGAAATCTGAATTGACTCAGGAAACTTGAATACTCCTGATATCTGTGGCTGTGTTTAGTTGTGTTAAACCTGCCAGACTTTCATACAAAGTTGCCAGTGTCTCTTTGCTTTTTTGAGAAGCGTGGTCCAAGGATGTTCATGCAATGAGGAATATGTTAAAGGTAAGACTAGAGCCCTGTTGCTATAGAGCTTAGCAGTGACAGAGTCCTCTCTGGATAGGAATACTCTAGACCAGGGGACTGAAGTCAGGGAGCTGTGACACACAGCGTGAGATGTCCAAAACCAGAGGGCTGTCTAGATTTGCAATTGGGCCGGGGAGAGTGATAAATATTTTAGGTTCTGGTACAAGGTCTGTAAGTCTTCAAAATAAGTTTCCATATTTCATATTAAATGTTTTAAGATCATATTAAAGGTGATGACAAATATGTGGAAGAAAAATTCCATAAGGAGTTATTAAACACAAAGACATCACCCTGGAATGGAAAGTGTCTAAGCAACAGGTTTCTGTGAATTGGAAGATTGTCCTGGAGAGGTACCACTATATGCTCACTTCATTAGTTCACAGTTTCCTAGCCTCTTCCTGTCAGTTTTGTTGAAGGCTGGATAGATGGACTGGGATAAATGGACTAGATGGATCCTAGGACCAGTTCAGTGCAGGTGTTATCAATATTTTTTTTTTCCCTAGGGACTCCACCTTAATATAATACACTCAACTTCAACTTCGGTGACTTTGCTTGCCACTGAGGTGGAGTTTCAGCATTTGCCTAGAAGTAAGGGAGGGGAGAGAGGAGGCCACAAGAAGTTTTAGATGACCGAGGAGGGGCACAGGGCTGAGCCCCCTGCCCTGGCAGTTATAGCGGTGGTGGGGGAGGCCCCATGTGGAGATGCGGCGGGTGCTCGCAGGGGGGACTTTTCCACAGAGGAGCTGCTGCGCCACCTCCCAAACAACATGTCCAGAGCCTACAAAAGCACCCTGCTGCTGTTGTAGCTGCAAGAGGGGGGCTTTGCCAGCATAGCTCTGATCACTAACAGTGATGATGGGGTTTTTTTCACGCTTCTAGCCAACGTGGCAGGGCTGGCAAGCAATTGTCTGGTAGATACGGCCTTGATATGCTGTGACCAACCAAACAGCAGTGATGGCTGAACTGAACAGGACTCTGAAGAGAAAGCAATTTGCCTAGGGAAAAGAGGACATATCTGACCTAACTTAGCACCTCCCTTATTCACTGGCGTTTGATGTAAAGCCCTGAGCACTTTAACCCTTTTCCACTCAGGAGTTGCAAGGTTTTGTGTTTAAAACTGTTAAGTTAATGTCTTCCTAGAGAACAAATAAGAAGCAAAAAAAGATCCTTAAACATCTGCTGCTCACATTATTATTAGACCATGTGGAGAAAGAAGAGTCAAAATACTTTTTAGGCTGGGTGAAGCAGCCTCACATCATGACTTAGTCAATATATACATAGCTATCCATGCACATTATGGAACACAAATGCAAGCGTGAGAATAATTCCAATGCAAACTTAGGAAATGCTAAATATAAATAAATGAGGAGTGATTTATATTGATTCTCCATTGCCATAAATTCCACATTGTCATCCAGAGCTATGCTTCTCTTCAGAAAGGCATTTTTCAAAATTGTTAGTGCCTAACAAAATGTGCATACCTAGGCCTGCAGGGAGTGTGAACTTTGTGTACCGTCTCCTTGCTCTTACACTGTTTCAGCAAAATTCATGCTCTAGCAAATGGATTAATGTCTTGCTTCTGTTTGTTTCCTCTCCTTGGTGTAGCTCCAAGTGCCCCTCCTCAGTCTGTTACTGTCCTGACAGTTGGAAACCACAACAGCACAAGCATCAGCATCTCCTGGGATCCTCCCCCTCCAGATCACCAAAATGGAGTCATCCAGGAGTATAAGGTAGAAATGATGTCTAATGGGAGGGTTGTGTGTTTAAGGAAACAGCCCGGTTGAATTACAGAACAATAGTGCTATTTATGGATTTAGAATCTGAGAGCATTTACAGCTGCCCATATAATTATATGGAGAAAAAGGACCGACTGCTTATGGATTATTTTTTTTTTAAGCAGTGCTACTGTTATATTAAAAGCAAAAATACCAGGAGCTAGATGTGGAAGAGAGCTGTAATTGCCAGTTAGTTTACAGTGCTTCTTTTTCTTACTTTTCCTTGCTATGGAATGAGAGGAAGGGTTTTTTTCATTAAAGGCTTCAGCACTCTCAAGACAGGCGGTGACATCCCTGTCTATGAGTGCCTTCAGTCTGGCAGAAAAGCTGACAGGAAAGATACCTTTTCTTTCCCCTACAAAAATGCTAATCCTAACACTTCAAGGTCAAAGTCAAGGACTGTGGCTCTGGGAGAATACAAGACCTCTTCCAAGTACTATCTCTGTCAAGATTCACAACTTAAAGTGCTATGTTGCTTACTCTGAGGAACAGGTTGAACACCACCACTATATCAAGAGTTTTTTATGAGAGTTGCCTGCATTGATTGTATTTTCTCCTTTGTTGGTATGATGCCTCAAAGTAGCCACTCCTTAAATATCATCTTAAATTTTGTTGTAGTCTATGAAGTCCCCACTAAACTCACTTTTGCATGAGTGTATTTTCACAACATGGAAAAAGTGCAGCGTGTCATTGGGGTAGAGGGCTACGGAGAAAATGATTGGCCAAGGTTCAGCATTTTCACAGGCTTCTGGCCATGGAATACGCTGTTAAATAACTTTGCTGTGGCTGGCTTGTATACCTTGTGTGAAATTTTTAATGGAAATAGAGCAGGGCAACTTTCTTGAGAGTCCCCCAAAGGGTGGAAGTGGTGGGTGCAGCTTATTTCACACAGAAGACCTATTTTTTTTTCCCCTGCTGTACCTTGAGGGAACACAGCATCAAGAAAGGAGAAAGTGCTTGACTTTTAAGTCAACGAATGGTTCAACCTTTTCCAGCTTGTCGCTTGGTCAGAGAGATGCAATAAATGCTCACAATATTTATGTTTAGCATAGCACTTCTTTTGTTTTGCTTTTAGTCAATATCAAGATTTATTAATCCCAGTATTTTATTGATCTCATTTTCATATCAATTAATAATTATCTTTTGGCTTAATTAATCTTGCTACTGACTCCAGTATAAGTCAATATTAACCATCACGGGCTTATAGACAAATAAGTAAAGCACACTCCTAAACCACAAAATATGTAGATATGAAAAAAGTAGGCTGATGGTTAATAAAAGCCATGTTCCAGGTGAGTGCTCAGGCCTCTAGGCTGTTTACAAAAATTACCTATTATATCCTTTCTCTGTTAGATTAGGCAGCTGCCTGATTAGTGAGCTGGCTACAGCGAATGTAGCACGAATAGTCCAATCCCTCCTTGAGTATAAAATGACTGCTGATGTTTCACAGTACATTTTCTAACAAATTCAATGTAGATCTGTTGATTCCACTTCAAGCATCAGAATGCCTGTAAATTCATTTATGAATTAAATGCTATTGTAATTATGTAGTGTACATGTGATGTCTTTATGCATCGATTTTCTTGGTGGTAGTCTTTAATAATACAGAAGCAGTATATGCAGATAACTAACTGAATAAAAAGCCCTAAAAGGTCTTAGTTGTGAAACTTCTTGGGAAAAGCCTATGGAAAAATGCAGGAGAGAGACATAACACTCTGACATCACAGGCTGCTCTCGTCACAGAATGCCGATTTAGATTCTAGAGTGTTATTTCTGTTTAATTAGAGAATAATTGAGTCAGGAACTGATATCTGGATTCCTGAACAATATGTAAGTAATCACAAAAGCAGCAGTAAAAAGTGAGTTTGTACTTATCCCATTTCAGAAATTTCACATATCCCTGTTGAGTGGTGAAAGGAAGTTGAAAAGGATTTTGAAAATTGTTTCTTCTTTAGTACTTTAAGAAGTGTTTCAACCTGTGCTTCTATTATTTGGTGTCCTTTTGCTATTCAGTGGGAAATTAAGATTGAAAAAAATGTGGGGTTTTTTTAGGAGAGGTTTGGTGGTAATCATATTACTGAACAAGATTTCAATTAATGTATAATGCCTCTTTTTCACTTGGGTGATTCTTATCTGTGCTTCTAAGAATTGTATACACAGAATTTGCACTCCGTGGAGAGCCAGAGTCCAGAGAGGTATTAGCAAGCAGTCTTTGCAGCTGTCTTGGTCGTATGCTAATCTGGGATAACTTGCTGAGCTAAATTATCCCAATTCCAGCTACTCCTGGACAGTAACATTGTTAAGAAGGCCAAAATAAATGATTGTCGTGCAGCACCTTGATATGTCATATCTATGCATGATTTTTTATGAGAATGAAGAATTTCGTATTTTTTAACACATCAACTTTTGTCCCAGATCTGGTGCCTAGGTAATGAGACTCGATTTCATATCAACAAAACAGTAGATGCAGCCATTCGGTCTGTAGTAATAGGTGGCCTATATCCAGGTATTCAGTACCGTGTGGAAGTTGCTGCAAGCACCAGTGCAGGTGTGGGAGTAAAAAGTGAGCCACAACCCATAATAATTGGTAAGTGATCATCTGTTTTGTTGTTTTGTTTTGCCTGTTTCAACTTTCAGAAATGCTTTCATAAATCACTTTTTGGAAGCATAAAAATCCATGGAGCAAAAGATGGGATTTGATAGAGCTAGTTAGTTAGCTTTTAATGTCCCGCTGCCTGCTGACGTTGCGTCTTCTCTTTGTGCAGACTTCTCACAGCCGATGGAGGGAAATATGTTCCCGAGACATATGAGAAAATGCAGATTACCCAGTGAAACTAATTTAATATTTTTTTTAGGCATTTACTTCTTCTGCAGGTTGATGGATTTATGGAACTAACAGCTCAAGCTCCCTTTTCCTTCTGTTCAGATGACTGTAATATTGCCTTACTTGTACCGTTGGTGCCTAAGGCACTATTTACAGTTGGTTTTCTGAACATTTGAAGTCAGTGTTTCTCAGGTATCCCAAGCAGATGAGCTTCCTCTATCAAAGAATAAGTGGCCTCTGGTCCAAATAGAGAGCAAAGGTAGTATTATCGTCCCTGCCTTTGAAATGACTGTTTCTTAGTAGTGGTTTCCATGCTGAATTAATTTCCTGACCTGAGGGAAACAGATTCTTCTGAAATTCTTCTCAAGTATAACATAAAAAGGCAGGAACAGTATGGGAAGGGTAAGAACAGAAGTAACCATATTTAGCAAAACTGAATTGAGCTGTGCAGAGCAGCACCTCTTTTGAGTGTGTAATACAGGATTTATTGCTTTTATCTGTGTGATCTAATTTAGTTATTACTTAAATGGGCTTTTGTCTTTTTGTGGGTCTTTTGTTGTTACTGAATATTTTCTTTCTAGAAAATGTTGTCAACACATTGTCCCAAACATGGACTGTTCTGTTATGTGTAGACCTTTAGAAAGTCTGTCCCCTAAGCACTGCTTAAATGTTTAATGATATTCAAGTTACCAATGCATCAAAACAGAAATTAGGGTATGCCAGCTTTGAATATATTGTCACTGGAGAGGGAAATGTAAGAGTGGAAGTGAGGGTAGCACTGGTTTTAGAAAAAGGTAGCCATAGAAAAGCCAAAGAAAACAGGAGAAAAAAGTTTTCTACAACTGAAAGCAAGAAATTGATTTTTGAAAATGCAAGAAACCTGTCATCTGATAGGCCTGAATTTTGTACCCCGGTGTAAGTAACTGATGTTGTGAGACTAGTCTGTCACTGTATTCGCTTTGAGCAGGGCTGCTTTTTCTTATTGCACTAGGGAGGCACTAAACAGACTGGGCTTGCTCCAGCAAAACACTTAAGTGTGTTGCATTTTAAGCATGTGAGTAGCCTTGTATCACTTAACGTGTTGTGAGTTAAACTTGCACCAAAGTGCTTTGCTGGATGATTCCCAGAATGCTCAGCCCCACGTCTGGGTACAGTCCTTCATCCTGACTTGACTTTACAAAAAATGACAGTATAATCAAGAGTTAAATGTGGAGAGATCTGTATTGTTGTAGGAAGGAGGAAAGGGATGTTATGATGCAAATAAAGTCCAGAAAGAAAAGGTTACTTGGCATTCAGAGACTTATTTTGCATCCTTAAACTTACAGTGATATTTATTTGTTCCTTAAATGATCCCATAATGTCTGCTTCAACAAGTCTGTATGGTGGCATTGTAGTCCAACATTAGAGAGTCCTTTGCATGAAAGGTAAAGGAGAGCCTTTTCTGTTTGGGTTGTGTTTCTGTTCACCTTTCTATTTTCCCTTTTGGGAGCCCAAAGCTGGATGTGGTTATTACTTGTATGGTCACTATCTCCCTTTTCTTTATGTCCCATTTTCTATTTCTTATGAATTGCTCAGAGTATAAATTTGCTTGAGAAAGCTAACAGTGTTTAGATGATACCATTTCTGGAAAACTTGAGTTGGTACCACTCAATGTTCAACTGAGAATCAAGAACATAAAATAAGAAAATAAAATAATTTTTTTAGGTAAATTTAAAAAAAATTACATGGATTGAAAATGAGCTAATGAGTAAACCTCAAAACATCATAAAGAATGGGAAAATTTTATTGAGTGATTGTATTATAATGCAGTCCTATATGGCTTGCTGCTTAGCTATACTATTTAACAGTTTGCAAACAGAACGACAACTGCAGAAATGCTGAGCTACGGAGAAAGCAGATCAGTGATGCAGAAGAGTTAAGCCATGTTGCTAAACAGTACTACATTTCATTGTCATGAAATACAGAGTCCCGTGTATAAAAAGAAAGATGTTATTCTTAAACATAGGATATGTTCTTCTAAGAAGGTTTTTTTCCAAAAATGACTGATTTTCATGGTGGATAATCAGCTACTGACTTCCCAGACCAATTCTAGACAACAGACCTGTGGCAATCCAGAAAGTAAAACCTGGAGAATATGGAGCAGTAGGAGGTATATTATTTCTTTAGTTAGAAATTGTGTCACTGTTACAGGAATCCTGTGCCCCTGCTTCAGGCAGGACATTGACAAATTTTATGGAAGACTCAAATAGAATCAAGAATAAATTTTTTATGATTACTATTGATACATTGAAAAATTTTACTTGGAAAAGCAGAAGTAAAATTGGCGGTAACAGCAATGTTGGTTAATTGTATAGCAACGATTTCTCTTCATCAGTTGGCCTGCTCAGTCTTACATTCCATCATTGACATAATAATATGAGGAACAGCTGCAAACTTTCACAGTAATAGGTACAATCGAATCTGATGTGTCTAATTAATTTTTGGTCCGACAAATTAGTTTTGTTCTTCATTACTCTCCAATGGGAGGAAGACATTATATTTCATTATGTTTTTGTCTTCAAGAACAATGGAGCGTTACAGGTCGCACACTTCCCTTGTCTATGTTCTAATTAGTTGAACTGACAGCATTGTTACAGAAACACCTGCAGTATATGAAATAGTATGCTGGTACCTTGGATGACATATTTATTACTTCTGCTTAAATATTATATAAAAAAATACAAAACGAATGCCGTTTGTTTCCTCAAACCCCAACGATTATATTAATTTTATCAAACACCAGTGGGTAACATTCATCTGTATCCATTTATTTTTCAGTCATCGACTTCACAAAGCATATGTTATTTTGACATTTAAATGAATTATTACTTTTGCAGTTGTAATTGCTAGGCACTGAAGGGTAAGAGCAAACAGCCAGACTTTGGAAGATAATTTCGAGACAGATTGCACCTTCTCCTAGAAGAGAGGGAGAACGTAAAGTCCACTGAAAGCTCTCCCATGCTCTGCAGTTTGCTCTCACATCTGCCATTCTCAAAAGACCGGTTTCTGACCTTAGAGAAGAAAATGAGCTCTTCAGACCTTTTGGAGGCCTTAGTGGGAAGCAGTTGTTCTTTTCTTGAGTCCAGGATTGTCCACTCCCAAAACTGGTGTCTCTGAAATGCTTCCCTGCCCATTCTTCTCCATGACAGCCCAGCTGCCTCTGAAGCAGTGCCAGCATTACCTGTTTCCTTGCCTTCCTGCTGCTTTTACCTTTCATCTGAAGGGCACAGAAATGAACTGAAAGTTAATGACAACATCAACTCCCATGCTGATTTCTACTAGAAAATCAATTGTGTGCCTGGAAGAGCAAGCCATAGAGTGCCTCTTTCTATGAGTTTTACTCTCAGCACTTCCTCTTTCAGCACTGGGGTGCACCTATGGTTTGGTTCCATGGGCAGAAAAAAAGGGGAAAATCCAATAAAGGAACCACCTCTGCATCCCTTCTTTTCCTTGTCACAGGTGCTCACTGAGTTTTTTTCTCTCTCACTGTATCAGGACTGGAAACCATCGTGCCTTTGGCAGCGGCAAGACAAAATAGGAAAGCATGGGAAATGACAGACGTTAGTAAAGCTTACCAGCGTGGCCAGTGTAGACTGGTACATGATACCAGTACTGGTGTACTGCCTTTTTGTACGTTAGGAGGCATAGTCTGTCAGCATCCTCCTGTGTGACCTATTTTATTTGCGGGAAGCCTGTTTTGTTTCTTGCACTGAACTACTGAAAGCAAGCCAAGATCTAGCACCGTTTCAACAGTCTGTTTGCAAAAGCAGACGGTCATCATTACTAAATATTGACATGGTGCTGAAAGAGAGAAAGCTTAATAAAATCACCAAGATCATTAAGAGTGCGATAGCAATGTAATGCAGTGCACCGCATTTCTTCCTGAGTAACTCAGTCGGGCTCTGAACACACCTTGGGACCTGAAGCTGTGTCTTGGCTGGGGCAGCGCCGGGGCAGGGAAGGTGCCCTAAGCCCGACGGGGCCCCTGGGAGGGATCCTCACTCGCAACTTGACCGGTTTAAACTCGGTCTCCTGCAAAGAGGTGTCCGTGGAAATAAAACTGGAAGTGTCAGACTTCTCGCATCTGCTTTAGCCAACGACCTTGTTTGTTTGCTTTAGGCTGAAGCCACTGTGCTGACACAGGAGCTGTTCTGGTGAAAGAAGTGAGGGGTAAATTGAACCGTTGCTGAATTATAGAAGAGGAATACATATGTTTTCATAGCAAGGCATAATGCTGCAATACTTCTAATCATTTCCTCTGAATGACCGTATCAGTGTTTTATTGCTATATTCTACTACCTTTACGTGTGTGTGAGAGAGACTCATAATTGAGAAACATGGTATTCACATCTTTTTTCTCTCAATAGAGTAGCTACTCTTGCAGCTTTTCAGCATGCATACAGCCATCTGAGATAACTGCATAAACATTTCAAGGATTGAGCTATATAAATGCTTTTTCTGGAGATGGTGGATAATTCTGTCACCATTAAAAAAAATGCAGATATGGGCAGTTTATGTCAAATGTACATATAATCAATATATGTACAACTTTTTGCAGAATGTTCAGTATTTCTTAATTTTAAAACTAACCATTTTTGACAAGGCAAGGTTTGGAGTAGAAAAGTGCTGGCCCTAGAACTATATGCTTTAGCATTTCCTGACTTTCCGTTCAAGTTTTTTATGAGCATTTGTTTTTAAACCAGACACCAAGCTTTTCCTTTTCAGAAAGTTCTGTTTTAGAGAAAGAGGGGGAAAAAAACAATGGGAGCATGTACTGAAATTTACAGTTTTCTAATGTAATATACACAATTTAAGATCCTATATAGTAATTTTTGATGCATGTCACTTTAATTGGTATTCCATGTCATAATTATTCCTTACAGGTTGATGTTAAGAATTTTTCATGCCTTTTCTAGGTGAAAAAAATAGCATCTGTTGCTGTGATTGTTTAGAGCTTACAGTTAACGATGCGATTTTCTTCTTTATGTCAAAGCTGGTGCACTTAGGATTTATACAGATTGTTTTCCCAATGAAATAATTGCTGGAAAAAGCATCTTTGCCCCAGCTGAAAGTACATATATCTTATTTTTTGTTTTAAATTTGGAAACACTAGCATGCGGCAAAAACAAATGAGTTAAGTAAGAATTTTTAGCATGATGACAACAATGAGAGAAGGAACTGTCTTTTGATGTAGCATATTTGGTATTTGGATTTCTCATTTGGAAAAAGCTATTTATTGATTGGATTTTTTTTTTATTGGTTTCCTATGATCCATTTTCTCATAATTGTATTCTGCCTGTAATTATGCAAAAACAAACCAACAAACACACATATTTAAAAAAAAAGGCTCTGGACTGTCATCTGTTAGATTACTTGGGAGAGTGCTATAGAGCTATCTTTTCAAATATATGTTTGCAAAATCTGAATGGATTATGGGTTTACTTTCTAGAAACATTGGTTTTCAGGTGTGCATTGGTACTCATTAAAACTCTCCTACGGAGGATAATTTTTTTGAGGTGCATTACTGTTTGTTTTTTTTTTTCATTTTCATTTGCAGTACTTGGTTCCTGTTTGTATTACAGAATCCATAATAACAATCTTCTGTCGAATTTCTTTTGTGCAGGAGGTCGTAACGAAGTTGTCATCACTGAAAATAATAACAGCATAACTGAGCAAATCACTGATGTTGTCAAACAGCCTGCCTTTATAGCTGGCATTGGTGGTGCATGTTGGGTAATTCTGATGGGTTTCAGCATCTGGCTGTACTGGCGCAGAAAGAAGAGGAAGGGGCTCAGCAATTATGCTGGTAAGAACAGTAACAGTTTGTTACCATCTCATCACGTTCTATCGTGAAGAGAACAGGTGCTGTTAAACCTACTTAAAAACATGTTGAACTTACACTAAAGTTGGCCTCAGTGAATTTTGTATGCTTGTTTTAAATGTATGCTGTGAAAATGCTGGTGTATGAGAAGCTTGAAATGCATTGCTCGGTACCACATTTCATCATTATCATAAGACAGTCTTTATTTTTACATCTCCAGCACATCTAGCATAAAAAAGTACAAAGAGGATTAACTGTACCTCTTGCTCCTTGCTCAGAAGGCACTCTGTTAGTGGTCCGGCTCCATTTATGTGCTCAAATGTGAATTAGACTAGACCCTTACGAGGAAGGTTAAAAAGAGTATTATTTGGTCTTCTCCTTCATTCCCATGCACTTCCATGTCTTTGAAGCCATGTGTATGGGAAATGGATGGAGGTACTTAGTCAGGGAATCCATACCTACAGCTGGAGGAGAAGAGAGTGATGTATTAGACAGAGAAGTGTGGTCAAAACTTACCTATGGCAGAAGCCATAAAAAGTTTTCTCTTGGAGGTAGAACATATTGGAATGCCCTCACAATGTGATCCCTCTTGCATCAAATGTGTTCCTCCAGTTACAAATTAGTTTTCGAAAGCTACATTTGGAAAAATAAATACATTTGCCAAATGAAAATATTTTCTTCCTCCCCCAACCTGTTTATTCTGTGTACTATTCTGTGCTTCAAGTTTCTTATGGATTTTTTGGAAGTCAGGTGAATTACCACAATATGTGTGACTGAAGCCTGATTTGTCACAAAAAAGCTGTTCTTCAAATATTGGTGTAGGTTCTCTTGTAGTGCTTATTAACATATAGAAAAACATTTTCTTTTTGTGCAAGATTTGCACACTTGAGGACACAGCATATTTAACGTTGACATGATATCACACTAAAGTTACACCAGTGCTCTTCTATTTACAAGTTATCACATGTGAACCCAAGAAGTTCCCTAAGTGGCTGAGCACCTCTAACAACCTGCCAAAACCCAACGCTCATTCCCTGCTTGCAGCCAAACAGTCCTATGTGTCCTCACCTTGGTGTTAGCCATCATCAGACTCCTCAATGTCCTGCCTGGGCTCACTAAGCCAGAAGGAAACTACCAAAAGCCCCACAGACTAGTTTTCCACTGGCTTAGTGAAACAAGGCAGCCGAAGAAGAGATCAGACAAGCAGTGGAAGCAGGGGGAGGAGAGACACTTTCAGAGGCCCTTGGACTGACTCGGTTTCTGTGGAACCTCACCTTGTGTCATTCATTGCCCATATCATTCATAGGTTATGCTTTTTGCCAAGGTGTTTTTTTCTTTCCTTTAACAGCAATGGCTTTTACTCTCTGCGAGGTGGGGTGGTGTTAACTGAGAAACCAATATATGTCACACACACCTACACATGTGTTTATATGAAATATCAGTCTAGATCCCAAGATTTTTCATATTAAGAGACAGCTGTACTGTTATTCCTCCTAGGAAACAGTCCTATACATAAACTTTGGACAAAAACTAAGAATACTGGGTTTTTTTAAAAAGCAGAATTATTAGCCCTGTATGTGAGTTGGCATGTTGGGGAGGGAGAGGGGAGATTGAGAACAAAGTCTTTTATACCTTAAAATGTGTAGCTGTAAATAATTATAACAGTCATTACAAACAGTGTGTCTCCTGCAACTCATTCCTTCTCAGGGTGTTTGCTGCATCTAAGTGTGGTGTGAACATTGCATCATGACACAGAACTCCCATCATCAGAATTATGAAATAGTGTATGCTTTCAGCAAGGAAAGTTCATAACAGGTCATGCTTCAAAATTCATCCTAATGTTTACAATTTAGAGAACAGCATGTCCACACAGAAAGTCTTCAAATGTGACTGTCAAAATTCACTGCTCACCTTTCCAACCACCATTTCCCATTGGCTGCTGGCTGGTTACTGCTGTAAGCTCAACTGTTATGTCCTGCTTATGATATTCAACCACAACTGAGTAAATTCCAGAGGAAACTCGTGCCCTGCAATTAGCGCTTATTATCAGGGTGTGTAACTCACAATGTGTTTGCTTTCTTGTTTTGCAGTTCAGTCCTTCACCTTCACCCCTGCAGGTACTGTCCATTAGTCTGTCTCTTACCTCACCAACATGTCATTGCAAACATTAGCTATCTAAGTGTTTATGAACATGTGAGATATGCAGAATTAAAACCAAATACAAGGAGAAATACTTCTGCTGCCTATCTGTAATAAAAATGTAGCATTCATTCTCCTAGTGATTCCAGGGGAATATAAAATCTACCACCATTAAAGTCTCTGTCATTTTAATTCTGCATACTTCTTGCTCATTTAACTCCTCGAAATAATGCAGTTTAAAAAGTAATTTGCAGGACAAGATGCTTGAACTAACTGAACAAAAACAAGCATTACTTGTACATAACTGAATTTTGATTTTAAAGCTCAAAAAATATCTCAAACATTTTTGAAGGTCTTGCTGGAGAAATGGAACTTTCTTCCACTTGAGCTGTTGTGTGTACGTTGGCCTTACTGTGAGGTGTTCAGCTCTTCAAGCAATCTAGTGATTAACCTATGCACGCATAGCCTTTATAGTGTTTTTGGAAATGAAGCATTTTCTTTTTTTCTGCCTACTCAGTTCAAAGCTGATATCCTAGTTTTCATATCCTTAATAAGCATAGCATACTGTAGACCATTATTGTAAGCGTGATTAAAGATATGTGAAGAATAAACGAAGTGTGGCTGAAACAGCTGGTTGCAAACAGCTTAGTCAACATATGGATAGCCAGGAAAAATAGAGTATACAATTAATAGTAATAACTAATACAAATAATTAGCTTCTGCTCTCATACCTAAGCTCAAGATTCAGAAACTCCAAAATATACCTCGGTGTTACAGTGTAAAAGGCTGATAAATCTCAGCATTTTCCAGCAGAAGTCTGTAAAGATTTTACGTGTAGCTTGGGCTCTCAGTTGCACTTACCAAAGCTGTGGTCCTCACGCTCAGCTAGCTGCTTTCTCGCTCTTGCTTATCTTCAGCCACACCCTGAGTGTTTAGCTTAGCAGGGAAGAGCAGATGACTGTCGAGGCAGATGAGCGGAAGTGATGGTGTCTACCCCAGGAGCCTGTGACACTGTGAGGGAGAAGTGTCCTCATGAAGAAGCTCTGGGGGTGAGGAATTGCTCCTCTGGCTTCTGGGCAGGTTTGTTCAAGTTAGTGTAAGCTGTGGCACAACACATCCTACCCTAAATGCTTTACTTGCTTTGAGACACAGCACAGGATTTTTTCCAAAATGAAATAATTTATCTTTATATTGGTTCCTATGATTATGCCGCTGTCAGCTGTCTGTAACTGTGGTGAGTTTTTTCCATTGTCTTTGTAGCATACATTGGCATGACACAGGGTTGTGCTGGAGCCACAGTGACAGTGCACAATTCAGTGCAGTTGATCCACATGGGCTGGGCAACCAGGTTATGTGAAAGGCCCTGCCAAAAATTTGCTTTTTTAAAAATAGTTTTGACATCTCATGGAGTTTATAGAACTATAACAGCACATAGTTCTAATTTCCTGGCCTATAATAGTTTCTGGAGGCTCTGAGAACCTAAGTCATCCAGTAGTGTCCTGGTTTTGTCTGGGATAGAGTTAGTTTTCTTCCTAGAGGATGGCATAGTGCTGTTTTGGATTTAGTACTAGTAACACATTGATGTTTTAGTTGCTGCTAAGTAGTGCCTGGACTAGTCAAGGATTTTTCAGCTTCCCCTGCTCTGCAAGGTGCACAAGCGAATGGGAAGGAGCACAGCTAAGAGAGCTGACCCCCACTGGCCAAAGGGCTATTCCATACCATATGACATCATGCTCGGTGGGAGTTGGCCCGGGGGGAGAGCGATCGCTGCTGGGGATGGGCTGGGCATCGGTCAGTGGGTAGTGAGCAATTGCATTGTGCACCACTTGTTTTGTGTATTCTGTATATTCCATACCATATGACGTCATGCTTAGATATAAGAAGGGGGAAGGAGAAGGAGGGGGGGGCATTCGGAGTGATGGCGTTTGTCTTCCCAAGTCACTGTTACGCGTGATGGAGCCCTGCTTTCCTGGAGATGGCTGAACACCTGCCTGCCCGTGCTTTGCTTTGCTGGTGTGCATGGCTTTTGCTTTCCTTATTAAACTGTCTTTATCTCAGCCCATGAATTTTCTCACTTTTACTCTACTGATTCTCTCCCCCATCCCTGTGAGAGAGTGAGCGGCTGTGTGGTGCGTAGTTGCTGGCCGCGGTTAAACCACAACAAGTAGTCAAGTCCCAAAAATGTACAATTAATTTAGAAAAAATGCCTTTGTTCTTATTAAAGAACGTAGCCCATGTTTTTTTATCTTTATACCCAGAGTTCCCCAAGAACCATCGTTAGTTCTCTAACATTTGAATTTGCCATTGGTAATGTCAAATATCTTAAGGATGGATGTCACGAGGACGGAGCCAGACTCTTCGCAGAGGTGCTCAGAGACAGGACAAGGGGCAATGGGCACAAACTGAAACATAAGAGGTTTCAGTTGAATATGAAGAAAAACTTCTTTACTTTGAGGGTGACAGAGCCCTGGAACAGGCTGCCCAGGGGGGTTGTGGAGTCTCCTTCTCTGGAGATATTCAAAGCCCACCTGGACGAAGTCCTGTGTAACATGCTCTAGGAGAACCTGCTTTAGCAGGGCAGTTGGACTAGATGATCTCCCGAGATCCCTTCCAACCCTTGTGATTCTGTGATATCTATGCTTGTGGAGGTTTGGTGACACTCACAACTGTATGTTGTTCCCTTCATAAACAGTTTGGTTTCAAATCTAAATATTTAGACAGTGGTATGTAGGCTTCAGAATCTCATCAGATACCGCTGTCAATAGAGTTTTACTAAAGATGAATTTAACCTCACACGCTCAGATTTTCGAGGGTGCACAATTTTTGTTCAGACATCTGCTTTAAATTCTTCCTTCAGAAAGTTGCAGAATGTTCAGATTTGACTGTGTAGTAAAGATAATTGAATGTATTAGTGGAACATTCATATACTTACTCTATTTCAGGCACAAAACAAAAATCAATTTTTTCAGTTATTCCTGATATAAATGGGTTTTGGTGTTTTGTTTGGTTTTTCTTTTTTTTTTTTTTTTTTTTTTTTCCAGTTCTATTTGCATATGTGTAGAACTTAAAACAGTAAAAATAGTTGTTTGGAAGTCTGGATTCTGCAGTTATATAATTACTTGCTAAAAATGTTCTTTTGGGTCATTTTCAGATTATAGGTCATTCACTGGGACTATTTGCTATTTGTATTCTCTTATTAGGCTCCTAAGAGGTATCAATTATCAATTTACCTGACATTGATTCTCAGTAATATCAGTACTACAAAACGTATGATTTTCAACTATGTTTGTTAGATTACTACTGGTAAGTAGTAGTGTTTATCATCTGCAGCTGTAGACAAGGAGTACCCTTTTTCGGCACTAGCAAAACCAAATCTGGCACAGAGACACTAAATACAAATGTTACCCCTTTTCAGTCATCTGTTCTATGATATAAAGAATGGATTAGTCTTACTTTTCTGAGTTTCCATAAAAGCTGAAGTACGGCTGCATTGGGGTTTTTCTGTGGTTTTATGGTTACCCTTTACTCAGATTGCATGGATGTAAATACACACAGTGGGATTCTGCATGAGACAGGAGAAGATAGATGGCACGAAAGAGATACCTGACCACTTCTCGTGTAATAGAGGAATTGTTTCATTCCCATGTTGCAATGACAGAACAGAATTTGTTTATTTTGTACTGGAAGTTGCAATTCTCTTTTCGCATTTTGTTATAAGGACTTATGCAACAAAGGCATGGAATCCTTTTGTAGGAATAAGAGAAATTTAATTTATTTGCTTATCTTTCCTATGCCCTCAAACTCATTGTTGTGCCAGTACCCACTCACTTGAATACTCAGGTGTTTTCAAGTGTCTAGGCCATCAGTCATGCAAAGAAAGTAAATATGTATTTTCACTTATGAGTAGGTAAGCTTGTTTAGTGACTAGTGCTCCTTGGAATTAAAGATTTCATGCAACTGAGTAAACAAAAACAAATTAAAAATAGATAGAGAATTATGGAATGCTCATTTTATGCACAACTCCTGAAACTGTTAAATGAAGGTAAATTATTTGACAGAATCATCCAAAGGTAGACAGAAGATTTGATGGAATTTTTATATGCTGATTATCGGTTCTGAGTTAATGCTTATTAGAAGAGGATTAATCTACATTCATATTTGAGGAACGGCTTATCAGAAAAAGGAATGAGACTTGGCTGGCAACATTAAAGTTTTCATTTGCAGTAGGAAAATGTGGCCTACTAGAGATAGGCATACAGAAAGCTTTCTAAGGCTTTCTAAAGCTTTCTTGCCTCAGAATGTCAGCTTACTATACATTCGTATTTTTCCAGTTCTAGCAGGCATGAAGATTAAGTTTAACCTTGTCAGATAATATTAGTAAATGGTTTGGGTGCCTCCTTAAATATTTAATAAAAAGCACGTGAAAAGCTCCTTAACAAATGCTGTTCTTCATACAAATATATACAAAATAATTTCCTTAAATATTTATGCATTTAAAATGCACTTTGGATTACATTTCTGCATTTTTACAGTCCTTGAAGTATAAGCTGGTGGGGATTCCTTCAAAATCTCTCTATGCAGAGGTTATTTTTTCATCTTCTTTTGAAAACCAATCTCATCCCTGCAGGTCTTCAGCCTTTCTAAGAACATATATCAGATGCAAAGAGTGCTGAAAGGGCTTTTTTGCTTCCTCAGTGATAAAAAGCAAGGGAGATGGGTGGGTCAGTGATAGGGACGTCCTTCCCTTCCTCCTCTTACATTGCCCCTTGAAATTGCTCTGCTTCTTTTTGAAGTGGAGACAGGATGAATAAAGCCAGCTGTCTGTGTGTTTTATTTTTACAGTGACATCCAGAAGCCTGCCTTGCATTAAGTATGCTCCTATTCAGGCGCTTAGACTTGTTTTGTAATTGCAGAAATCAAACTGCAGGCAAAAATGCTGACAAAACGTACGGCAGGAATGATAAACATAGTGCTTGTGTTGGCAGCCTGACCATATCTTCTGTTGTTAACTGTCTTTCCTTTCACAATATTGATGCTAAAAGAAAGGAACCTTCTCTATGCAGCCTCAGGTAGCCTATTTATGGATGGCATCATGAATATGATTTCTTTTTCTGTAGCATCCTGATGACGCATCCACACTTAAAGAGGAATTTTGGCTAGCTTAGTCGATATTCCGGAGCCTTTTCTACCAAGAACAGTGACTGAAATACTTTCTTGTTTATTTTCTCACTAATATTATAACCATCCGTGCATTGGTATACAGGGTGGGGAGTAAATGAAAGAACCTGTATTCCTTCCCAGGTCCATGCACATCACATAAGCCAGGCACACTCTTCCCCAGGAAAAACAGTGTCACCGCAAGACAAGTTCTTTTTTTATTAAACTAAGCTGAATGTTTCTTCTAAAGACAGTGTTTATATTGAGAGGGTGTAAGATTATTTAATGCAGGAAGAAAACAGGAAACAGTTACTACCACCAGGATACACAGACAGAAGAAAAAAACAGTAAATGCTGTGATACCTGTCTCTTCTCAACAAGCTCCTATGCCACAGCCAATCTGCAGCAATTATGGCTCTAGCAAAGAGGTTTCGATGTCATGTCTTCTTGTTATGTTTCTCATAGCATGCTCTGGAGTTTTTTCCATACCTCACTATGAGGAAAATAAAATGTGTCTGGCAAACATTGCTGCAATCTCCTACTAGCTCCTCCATTTTAGCTTTGCTTTATAAAGGTACACCAGGGATATAAATATTTTGAAGACCAGAAGTATTGATTCTTTTTTTCATATGACACACATAGTTAAAATCTCACACACCTGTATGTGCTATACAAGTGGTGACAATGTTACTTTAAAATAATTTCTGGTAGACAATAGCCTAAACAAGAGCATTAACCCCAAGAAGTTTTCAGAAAAATTTGTTTTACTGGAAATCCCTTAAATCTTAAAGTTTAATTATAAGGGTTGTTATTGAATGTGCCTTTGTTTCTTGTTTTTCTTATTTCTTGTTGCTTTGACAAATGCAGAAAGTTGAAGAAATGGTGTATTAAATTCGAAGGGGAGGAGGAGAAACAAAACAGCTTCTAATGTACTTTTGACCAACATACTTTGAAAAATAGCCAGGCAGTACCCACCTCTTTGCATATTCACACATGATAGCCACAACACTTCAGATTATTCGCTTTAAAGCAACGAGTGATACAGTCCTTTGACAGCCTGTTAGAAACGACGTGAATGAAAGTAGCATCGGCTCTAAATTTAATTATCTGCAATGTTTTACCATGTCTTGTTTTTCAAAGCAGACTTTCATTTAATACTTCCCATACTTGCATTTTTATTTTCTTTTCATTAATTGGTTTGATTACATCCTTTCAAAATTCAGCTATTAACCATTTTGATGTGACATATGACTGCAGTGATTTTCTGATATTGATATTAGTCTGTTCTGCAGTGAAGGGTAATTAATCACCCTACCCAATCACTCTTCCAGCAGGGCTTCCAGAGGGGCCAGTTTAGTCCCCTTTGCTGAATGTAGACTGTGAAATTATCCTAGGAGTTAATAAAGTGACAAGGATTCTATAAGGTATCAGAAGTATTTTCCCAGTGGATTTATGTCATTGCTAATTTTTTTAATGATCACAGCATTTCTGTTATGTCATTGCTAATTTTTTTAATGATCACAGCATTTCTACTGGGTGTAGTAATTTTGTCTGATTAGAATGGTGTATAATAACAAGCCTAACCTTGAATTAGTGTAGTTTGGCCTAATATTTGGAAAATCTTGCAAATACTCTGGGAGCTATAATTTAAGGATGAGAATGTCTGTCTTACACAGGTAAATAGTATTTCCAAACCAAGGGCCTATTTTAAATGAAACTGGCCACAGACCCCTTCCATTCCATTCTGAAATTTGAACCCTCATCTTGTCAGGGGCCTGTAAGGGTGCAGGTGTCCAGGACGCTGATATAATTTAATAGTCTGCCTTATCTATGCCTGACAATAAATAATAGAATATTGCCACTGAGAACCAGAGTAGGCTGTTGGCCTTGATTCAAGATATTTGCCAGTGCTTCAAAAAGGAGCATCAAACGTTGTCAATTAGCATCTCACCAGTAATGTGGGTTTACCTATATTGCCCTGAAATGTAATCCTGTTAATAAGATAGATAAGGGAAAGGCTGTTTTTTGTCAAACACCCATGAATGGAGCCATAAAAACAATTGTCTCCCTCTGAACATATTCTTGGCATCCCCCATGGCAATACTGGAAACACTTTTTCTTCCCAGTGATACTGGCGTGTATGCATTTATGTGTGGGTGCTGGTTCTTATACTGTACTTCTAATGGAAACAGTGCAGCTGTATGCTTTTTTTCACCCCTTCAGCTCTAATAGAGCTGCCACCTCTTTGTATTTGTCCTGAGAAATGACATATTTGTGTGGTGACATTATATTACTGCATTACGACATGATGTTATTAACTCACTGGTGCAATGTCATTACGTGCTGAAGCAAAAGCATGCCAAGAAAACAATTTCATCACATGGCACAGCCTTGCAATGCAAAGTCATATGAAGGGGCCTGTGGTAAATTCAGGCCCTTTACCCAGGTGGCTGGTTTGCCTTGCAAGCTATGGAGCAAATTGATGTTAGTTAATAAGGTTTGATCCTTTTCTCATATTTTCTATACTTTATTATGTGATGATACCAAAAAGCCTCCGGTCTCAGACACTGAGCAGTTTGAATTGTTACTTTTAATTATTACTAATTGATTTTTCCCCTGTCTTATATGTGTGTGCGTGTGTGTGTATGTTTGTTTGTTTTGTTTTTCCAACCAAAACACAGTCACTTTCCAAAGAGGAGATGGAGGACTAATGAGCAATGGAAGGTATGTTTCTTTGTATAAAGGTCTTTCCATCCTATTTTTAAAATTAGGGATCTGAGAAATGCTATAGGTGATGCACTTGGGTAACAACTGATCATTTGGACGATTGACAACGCTAGGAGGAGTTAAGTAGCTTACCACAAGGTTTAATGACCTATTTGTTGTGCACTTTGGAGGAATCAAGCACAGATGTTTCATATCTCCCAGATGCCCTCGAAGAAATGAGTAGTAAATATCACAAGGAATGTGTTCATTTGTTACCAGGATGTTTATTGCATTAATTAGACATTAGCAAATGAAGTTGCTGTTGTTTAAGACTCCTTATTGGCTCCCCCTAAATTGCTGTGAGTGAACAATTACACTTAATCGATCACAAAATAAATGATTCATGGATGATGAATAGGCTGTAGATTGATAGGACTGGATTCCACAACTTTGGCTACTCAATTGAAATTGATAAAAGCTGATAACGGGCCCATACATCCTCATCTATTTTCCCTTTGCCAATATGGAGATTGTAATTAGGCCCTGGTAATAACTTCCAATCTCCCTTTTAATCAATATTTTAGCAAAAAGAGATTAGGCCTAATGAGAGCGAGTAGATGTGGCAAGAAAGCGGCTGGGTCTTCTTATTGCTGTTTCCATAGAAACCGATGTTTCTCTTAGGGATTGTACCAGGCGGGGGTCTATAACATACAATGATCAGAGATGCTGCTCCAACTTCATGAGTGCATTAATAACCTAGAAAAGCTGCAAAACTGTGGATGGTTTTCTGTTTTCATTTGGGGGAAGGGGACGTCTGCAGGAAATGATTTGTTTTCCCTGTTAAATACAAATACAAACAATCCACCTACCTTGCTAAATTTCCGACTGTTTATCCTGGGGTGAGAGAGGCACGGTGCCTCATGGCCCAAGTGTACCTTCTCTTTCAACATACTCGCTGTTTAATACTGCTCTCAAAGCTGGGAATTACCGGGATATAAAAGCCATGCAGTAGTGGCAGATAAAGATAGCTGTGGACTTTCCATTAATCCTACTCAAACCTGTTTGCCTCTAAACCATCCAAGAGCGCTCAAAGAAAGAGTTACCAGCCTGTGGATGACAGGCGTGCATTTGGGATGCAAGAGAAGGAAGAAATAGTAGCCCAAAGTCCTGGAAATGGCTGATATGGAGCAATCAATTTGAGTGATGGCTCCCTTGAGGTGGTAATTTATCATGTAGCCCTGGTGTAGGATCCCATGATGGTGCTGCCTAACCCCTGTTTCACACAGACAACGGAGTTCATTTGGATTCTGGCAGAATCACGACGGATGCCTAGTCCCAATTCTACTGACAAAGTTGATTTGTATATATCCTTAATTAACTGCTCAAGGTCTTTAAATCATCAAAGGCTACACAATTTTAATTTGAAATAAATTAAAGTCTCCTAAACTTGTTTGTTACCTATGGTGTTAGAACAGTGATATGGTCTCTTCAATCACTAGTTGTCTCACAGATATTTTAACTTTGTAAATATATATATATGTATATCTTTTTTTTCTTATTCTGCTTCAGTCGACCAGGTCTGTTGAATGCAAGTGACCCTAGTTATCCGTGGCTTTCCGACTCTTGGCCTGCCACAAGTCTGCCAGTAAACAACAGCACTAGTGGACCAAATGATCTTGGCAATTTTGGTCGTGGAGGTAGGTTTCATTTTATCAAGTCACCATATTACACATATACAATAGGCTTCTCTTGGTTAACATCTATGATAAACACTGTGTAATATTTCTATCATTATAGCTCTTTCTATATTTGACTCAAGATTTGATTTAAAATTGACTTGAAAATGTTAATTTTGCTTTGTCTTTTTCTACTTCTTCAAAATGTAGGTCTAGTTTGTAATTTACCCCACAGTGGTGAGGCAGGGTCTGCTTATCACCTCAAGAGAAATTAGTTTGTTGCTCAAACTCATTCCCTTTTGTGTGGAAACAAGCAATCTGCTGTGCAGGGCAATGTACCCAGGGATAGAGGATGTCCATAAAAGCAGAAAAGAACTCAGGGTATGCAGGAAGGATGTTCCTTCAGCAGTAGAAGGACAGAAGAATATTGTTGCTGTGACCTTACCCATCCTCTTCTTGCTGAGGGACTGCTCTCCGTCTCAACCGTAATCCATGAAGAAGGCCTCAAAGGTCTTCAAAAACTTTCCTTCTTGTTGGAGGAAAGAATACATAAAAGGGAACTATTTAGATTTTTTAGGGTTTTATTTCCATTTTGAATTGATGGAGGCCCTTTGGGGAGATGAGGTAATGATTTATAATTATGGTGGTGCATCTTTCAAACATTTTACTCAAATGGGAATTTCAAGATGTGTGATTGGGATTTTTAAGTCATAGTAATATTCACATCACTGTTACTTCCTTGGTTTCTGTCATGTTACAACACAGCTAGTTCTGCATAGTGGTGTTCAGAACAAGACTTCCTAACATAAATGAGTATATAAATATTTTTAAAACATAAATAAGTAAAAAAATATCAAGACAACTTTAGATATCAAAAATATATTAAAATGCAAAAAATCTATAAAACCATCAAACTGATAGATGTGAAAAGAATTTAGTTTTGAACTGTACCAGAATCTGCTTCTGAAAACCGTCCCTCACATGGGCTGTACATTCCCATGCAAAACTTCTTGCCTGTGGTTTGATTCCTGTGACTTCAAATTACAACAAAACACCATAGATTTATTTTCCAGATAAAAATGTTGTAAAGCTCGTCTTACAAAAATATTATAAAATAAGCAAAACTTTTGATAATATTTAGAAGGCAACTGAATATATGCCAGCTTCTTTGTTGTGAAGATCTTGAAAATAAACCCCTTCGGTAGTTTTCTATCTTTCTATAAGCTCACATAATACATAAAAATTACCATTTTCTTTTAGCATTTGGCTCTATATGACTGAAATTGGAAACATATTTTAAAGCTTTTGGCTTCAATGTGGATGAGGCATAGGTCTAAATTTGTCCAAGAGATGCAACAGTTATATTTGGAATTTCAGCAGCTTAATTCCATCCATGATCTTTACAGTTGAGCTCACACTTTTATTCTGGCTGGTTTGGGACCACTTATCCCTATCTGTTTCAGCAGTTCAGTTTGAATGCTTCTGCATTGAAGGCAGATTAGAAGTCGGATGTCTTTTAACATGAATTGAATATATAGATAGGAGTTGGGCCTCTTTTACTGGTTAAAAGGTCTGTGATAATATAAAAGGTCCATAAGAATTCTGAAAACAGTAAGGTGGTGATCAATCACTCTGGAAACTCAGAAGCTGAGGCAGGCAGTTCTACCATTGCCTTTAAGAGTGAAATCCACCTTATGTCCTAGATAGGCATTTGAGAGCAAGGCTGTGAGCGGGAAGCACAGTTTAGGTTTGGAGACATGTAAGGCCACAAAAATGATACTGTGTCTCCTGAAGCAACAAGAAAGAGCTTCCCTCAGGAAGTACTTCAGCACTATTTCATTTATCTCAGGAGTTACAAAACAAGCTGGATTTTAGAGATTTTTTTGGGAAAGTGTCCAATGGGAAATACGTGTTCATCTTTGGCCTGAAATGTACAGTGTGGTTTTCTTGCTATGACAACTTGGTGGGAAAATAACACCTGACTTTTACTAGGTGATTATGGCACTTCGTAAAATGGCACTTTAATAGCTCTTTGAGTGCTTAATGTATACATCTCATTGAGGTCAAAAAAGTAATCTGTGGTTGTGCTGAAAACTCTCAGAATGTCTGGAGAACCTCAGCTTATTAGTAAGAATGACTGAAAATTCTTGGCTGGTGGGAAGCTATGCAACTTTCCTTTCAAGTGTATGCAAATGTATAGTTATCTGTTTTAAAATGACTGTATAGAGATGATACCTCTTCATTTGCCAGAATATTGCTCTAAAAGATAGATGTATGTCTGAATACTTGAGAGATGAGCATTATGCTAGTCTTTACTTGCATGAGTCTGCAAATCCAACACAGACAGGTTGAGCTGGACTTACTTCATTTTATACATCAACAACAGAGCACTGGAATAGGCTGCCATGGGGGGTTGTGGAGTCTCCTTCTCTGGAGATATTCAAAGTCCGCCTGGACGATGTGCTGTGCAACTTGCTTTAGGTGAACCTGCTTTAGCAGGGGGGTTGGACTGGATGATCTCCCAAAGTCCCTTCCAAACCCTACCATTCTGTGATTCTGTGAACAGAATTTATTTACTAAAATCTGGTCCATTATACTTTGATGAAACCAATTGTGGAAAGGAAAAAATCTTCATATTGTGGTTGAAATGCAAGAAAGATAGGACTCCACTTGTCTCTCACATCTCATACTATATTTGCACATAGATACTTTTATGATTGTGTACTGCCCCTAGAAAGCACGTTGGATATGCACAGATAGATAGTAATGACCTGATTTTGAAATATGACCTATAGTTTACATTAAAAGTAATTTTTTTTGCAATTACAATTTATCTGCAGATATAAGTTAATACAATTAAGGCATTTTAAATGCTTGATTGTGCCCATTTCCCTATTGTTGTAGCCTGCAAAAACAGATCATACTGATAGACCCAAATTTAATCTCTGTTTCTGCAGTGTCTCTACTGAGCACTTGTTGTTGCCATATTTATTGTTAATATCATATTGTTGCCTTGACATTGCAAATGTTATTAGGGTCCATATTAAAATGTTCACTGTTGCATACATGAATACAATAGAAAACAGTTCTGTGGTCTAAATGTTCATCCCAGAAAAACAAAACAAACAACAAACAAACAAACAAAAAAAAAACCAAACAAACTCCAGAAGAGTGGAAGGAGGCCATGGTATCATATCTCATTGCTGGAAAAGTCTTGAGACAGTGAGAGTACAGAATACAACTGTATTCCCTGAGGTTGCACAAAACCCATGTGTGAGTCTGGAACTGAGCCTAAACTGTTGTCTAGGTGCAAGAATAATCTTTTCTCTTTGGGGCTTAAGTTATATAAAAATATCTGAGATACCTAGAATGGGATCTGAACATCCTCTTTGTAGAAGTATGCATTATCTCAAGTACAATCTAACAGTTAGAATCCGTATCTGCCACCTGGTGATATAAACCAAACGGCATATAAATAATGTATTTTTCTAGCAAGTAAATTCCAGAGTGGATTCAACTTTTCAGAGTCTAAATAAATTGTAAAAATAGTACCGTTTGATATGTTGACCTCTGAGAGAGAGCTCTGCTGAGCTCTGGTTCTCCTTGGGACATCATGCCAGTCATCATTAGATTCTTCACACTTCAGTAGTCTCAGCTTCTAACTCTAGTATTCCACCAGCAAAGGTCACTACAGTGTTTAGTAAGGGGAGAGATTACCAGTCTAACTGATTAAAGGTACAAACTGCAGTGTGTGATAGGATTCAAAAGGTGTGGAAAAGTCAACAGATATTTAGTTAAATATGCTGCACCGTTTTTCAGGTAAATCTACTGGAGTATTTGAACAAGTTGTTCTCCATTATCAACACTGCTCCGCTGTTTTAAGTGTCTGATCACTTAAATCTCTTCAGAACAACAAATTTTCTTTCATATATCAAGAACAACTTGGTTTTGTCAGGTTTTTCTTTTGTTGAAAAGGAGAAATGTACTAGCTAATGTCAAAAAGAAAATTAGATAAACTGATGTATAAAACTTCAAGGAAGTCAAGGTGATGCCCTTAAAAATTGCTTTGAGAGCTTTGGCATCCATTTAAGAGTTTTGCTACATATTTGCTGGGAAAGTTTCCTCTGTGATTTGTAGATTCACTCCTTTCATCATTTCCCTGAAGCCCAGACAGTTTCATCCATTCTGACAAAGAGTGAACAATTGAAAACATTCTTCAGTAGAGAAATATTCCAAACTTCACTTTCACAGTTGAAGGTATGGGAAAAAAAAAAAAAAGATGGTTTTAGGCAGTGAGACGTGAAGGACAAGTGGTAGGCCTGTCACAGATGCTGATAGCTTGGCGATGGTTGTACATCATCTTCCCTTCGTTGGCTCATGGACCTGTCTCAGCTGAAATGCAAACGTGCAAAATGACACATTTATTTTTCATCTTAAACCTTGATACTTTCAGGCTTCCTGTGCATCAATGATTTGTTTTATTCCCCTATGTTCACCACAGATGTGCTGCCACCAGTGCCAGGGCAAGGAGATAAAACCGCTACTATGCTTTCTGATGGAGCCATTTACAGCAGCATTGACTTTACCACGAAAACTAGTTACAACAGTTCCAGCCAAATAACGCAAGCCACGCCATATGCCACCACCCAGATACTGCATTCCAACAGCATCCACGAGTTGGCTGTCGACTTACCTGATCCTCAGTGGAAAAGCTCAATTCAGCAAAAAAATGACCTGATGGGATTCGGTTACTCTCTCCCAGACCAAGGCAAAGGCAACAATGGTAATTACAGCTCTTATTTTCCCGAGCCCTTGGCTTTATACTGTATCATCTATGCATGAAGTAGAAAAATCTTTTTAGTCTGTGAGGCACTTGTCATATTTACCGTAACTAATGCTTACATACCTTGCATGCATGCTGAACCTCACACAATCACAAAATATATTGTTCTGTGCTTTTAATCTCTTTGTCCTGTGCTGCTCACCAAGCCATCTGCCTTCTATTAGGCTAGGATAGGCATACTTTCTAAAAAAAAATTAATGAAAACTGGCTGCCCCACCACATCTGCCGTTGACTTGCTAACTGCATGTGTTGCATGTGCTTGTGCTGTCGACTAATCACACGATGCCACTGTGACCTTTGCCCTTTAACCCTTAGCCTTGCTTTACATCCCTGACTACCGCGTGGCTGAGGGATTGGCTAATAGATTGCCACACAACCAGTCACAGGATTTCAGCACCACCAGCTCCCACAACAGCTCCGAAAGGAGTGGCAGCCTCTCAGGGTGGGACGGAGGGGTGTTGGTGAGCAGCTCGCCAGGGAGGCGGAAAACCTGCCAGGTGCGCTTTGCCGATAGGTATGAGGGTGCCTGCCCGCTGGAACGTCAGTGAACAGCATCACGTTGGCCTCTACTAAACAAAAATGCCTTTTGCAAAAGCTGTTTGGAGATAGCTGGAGAATCCTCCCAACCAGCGCTTGTCGGCGCAATCGCAAACCTTGCCTTGCCACATCCTTTCCCTGACAGCGCAGTTCATGGAGCAAACGTATTTCTGCATCGAGCCTCAGTTTATAGTTCTCCCCACACTGAACTTCATGAGGAGATTCATATTTTTGTTGAGTTGTTAACAGATTCCCCACTCCCACGAGCTGTTTCTAAATGCTGTTTTTCAGTGAAGCAGCTCAGAAATAAATGTAGGGCCCTGCAAGATGCCTGGGGTTTCAAAAACTGTGCCAAGTCTGCATACAAACAGGATGTAAATTTTGTGTGTGTGCTGCATGTTATATTGGAAACATGATGCATTTTCATTGGATGAAAATGATTGTAGTACGTGTGGTTGTGTATTATATATAAACACACCTTTTTCTTGATTTCTTTAATTTTGCTTACTTGTTGCTTATGTTATGTATAACTATGTCATTCTTTTTTCGAGACAAAACCCGAAAAGCCAGCAATTAAAATGAAAGTCTGCTATTTTACTTAACGGAAATATGAGAGAGCTGAAGTGACTCGAATTTCAAATTCATACTATATCTGTAGCCTTTTGAATTTCCACTGTAAGTTGGAGTAACAGTAACAGATCAACCCTAGAAATGGCTCCTTTATGTCAATTTAAATTACTATTCATATTGAACGGTGAGATTAGAAGCCTATAATCACTGGCCCACAACTCAAATAGCCAACTGTGTTTGCAAGTCTTGTGTTCTCATGAGGAGTATTAGCTGATTTGAGTGAGATTGAAAAATAGGCTTATGGCATTGACAGAGAGGTATCTGGGAGCCAAGTTCACAGGATACTTCAAGAAAGGTTCTTGTTCCTTGCGAGATGTATTGGCAAGTAGCTTAAGAAATCGGCTTGCTCCTCTGGCTGCATGAAATGCAGAAATTGATATGCTGAGGTACATATGTGCCAGTTATCAGAGGGCAATATCTCATTTTAGATGTGTTGACAGCTACAGCTGCCTAAGAATTTTCTCAGAAAATACAAAGTTTCATTGGAAATTGCCAGTTGATCAAAAGCTGGACTTTGAACAAATACTTCAAGTGGAACATATTTTGTGTAGTGTTTCTCAGTTTGAAGTAAATTTTCTGATGACACACAGGCCCTTCAAGTTAGCCAGTCTTTCTATGGCCAGGGCACTCCTGTTGTGATTAAAGCAGCTCACACCTGGATGCCCCGATTCTCAGATGAGTATCAGACTATTGGACTGCAGAGTCAGTATTTTGCTCTCCCTTGCCTGCTAATTATGTCTTTAATACAGGCTAATTATGTCTGTAATACATGAGAAACTGGGGAAGACCTTCAAATAGTCCAATAATTAGAGCATCACTGGAGTCAGAGACCAGCTTTGATTACATAGTCCCCATCAGAGTGAGCAGGGACTTGTTCTCTCACTTCCTTGGTTAGTACTTCAAGTACTACTTATTATTCTGACTAAGTTTCTGTCTCTCTCAGATGAATATCATGAGAAATCCTATCCCATTGTGGAATGGAAAATAGCTAAAAACTCAACTGCTTTGTGAGGCAGGGAAATTTTGTGGCTGTACTTTACACAGCTCCCAGCTTATGTCAATGCTATGATCATCAGCCCGCCTGGCAAATTCTTTTTCCAGGACCTGATTCATCTGGAGATTTAAACAATATAATTGAATTTCAGTGTGAGGAGACATTGAAACATCAAGTATCGTTGCTATGGGGAAACAAGTCTTTGGTGCAAGAGTGTATCAGGCATAATGTATTAGGTGTCTGTTCCGCTAATCTGACAGAGGAGTTACTCTGCCCAGGGGATAGAAGAGAAATCTCCTGCCCAACTGTATGGT